CTCAGCTTTTCCAGCTCCTGGGATTACAGAGGTGCTCAGCTGCGCCTGGCTTTTTTTTTTTTAATAGTCAATTCCTAGGGGCTGGGGATGTGGCTCAAGTGGTAGCGCACTCGCCTGGCATGCGTGCGGCCCGGGTTAGATCCTCAGCACCACATACAAACAAAGATGTTGTGTCTGCCAAAAACTAAAAAATAAATATTAAAAATTCTCTCTCTCTCTCTCTCTCTCTCTCTCTCTCTCTCTCTTTAGAAAAAAAAATAGTCAATTCCTAGATCATTTCTCCTTGCTTTAAAGATCCTAGAAGTGTTCTATGTTTGAAAAAGGAGCTCTTAAGAACTATTCATATGCCTGTTGATAGCCACTTCATGGTCTTTAGGAGTCAAGATAGGCTAAAAAAGAACTTGAAAATGGTCTTTGCTAGAGTACTTTATAGGAGAGAGACTAATAGAAGTTCATTAATTTCTTCTCCTACAAAGTTCACTTACTGGATTTTTCCTATTCAGGGTCTTTTATGCCCTGGTAAAAGATCGCAAAATGATAATAGCTACCATTTTCCAGGCACTGTGCTGGACACTTTATGTATGTCATCTCATTTAATACTCCCAGCATCCCTGCTTCAAGGTCAACAGTCTGGAAACCAGCTCCAGAAAGACTAATAACTTTCTGAGGTAAAACAATTGGTGGACTTTCCAACTTCTTTTACAGACATTTTCTTGTTGCATAAAGTTCTCTCATTCAAAATCTGTTCTAGATTCACATTCTTTTGATTTCCATTAAGAAAGACTAGTACACCTGAACTGGCAAAAATGTAAATGAAAGTATAATATTTTTAGTCTTTCATCGAGCTATAAGCTCAATTTGGTAAATAAAAAGTTTTAGGTAGGGGCTGGGGTTGTGGCTGGGGCTGGGGCTGTGGCTCAATGGTAGAGCACTCACCTCTCATGGGTGAGACCCTGGGTTCGATCCTCAGCACCACATAAAAATAAATAAACAAAATAAAGATATTGTGCCCATGTATAACTAAAAAAAAAAAAGTTTTAGGTAGATTTAATTATAGATTGAAAGTTAACAATTTTAAATTGGTTTTCAGTTTTATCCCTGAATTATCTATTCAGTTTTTTTGCTAGACTTCTTTAGAAATAATTTGTAAACTTGATGAAATGATAGAGTAAGGATTAGAGGAAAAATTAATGGTGGAGGTTTTAGCCTGGAACTAGCATATATGCATAGATTGCCTTAAAAAAAATAACAAATTCAATGGATCAATAAAAACTGTTTTACGAAGAATTTGTTGAGGTTCTACCTATCACTTGTTATTCTTTTACAAGTTCCTTTACTTGTAATTGCTTTATAATCAAGAACCCTGATTCCATAAAAGTGAAGTTCAACTACTTTGGGGACCTTGAACTCAGTTCTTAGAAAGAAATGGTGAGGATAGAACTAAAAGAGAAAACAGTTCACAGAGAACAAGTAAGATTAGCTGTTTAGTTCAGAAAAACTCAAATAAATCAAAGCCAGAACAGCACAGCTCATGATTACCATAAAGTTAAACCATTCTCTTCAGATTACAGATTGAGAGAGCAAACAGTATTACTGTGTCCCCTGACTTTGACTTATTCTTCAGGACTCATTTTTATTATGAAAGAAGCTGGGCTGGGTCATCTTAGAGTAAAGCTATCAAAGGAAATAGATGAAAACCAACAATTCAAGCTTACTTCCTATACACAGAATTTCTGTTTTAATTAGAGAATGAGTTTGGTGTGTTTTAGAAGGTGGGTTTTCTAAAATCAAAAGTCACATCACATCAAACAGGTAGAGAAAATTTTGCTTTTATTTATTATTCCTTAATAATTAATTTGTAAATTTCTCCTCTTTTGGTATCATTTAGGTTTGACATATGTCCATGGGATTTTCCTAGAATAAGATTTTTTATTGTTGCAGTGCTAGGGATTGCTCTACCACTGAACTCTAACCCCAGCCCAGTGTAAGGCTTTTAGTGACCATAAGAACTTACCAGGTTTGGCTTCATTTTGAGCCTACAGTGTATGTTCATATGTTAATTTCCACCAGATTTATATCCCTTATTCATATACCACTGGGTAAACCTTACATAGGATTCCATTACAGAGGTGCATGCACAAGGCCCTGGGTTCAATCCCCAGCACCACAAAAGAAAAAAAAAAGGCTCTACACAATGAAAGCAAGTAGATTCTATTCCTGCTCTTTTTTTTTTTTTTTCTTTTTGTGGTGCTGGGGATTGAACCCAGGGCCTTGTACATGCAACACAAGCACTCTACCAACCGAGCTATAGCCTTAGCCTGCTGTATTTCCTAGAATGTACAATGTATCGTACAACTAATACTTCAAAACAGATTTGCAAGGTTTTTTGATATTTAAACATGAATTCCTGGGTCATTGATATGTCTGAAGATATTTGATAACGTAGTATAGAGGAACAGATTTCTCTAATTGGTAATGAGAACCTGAACAAATGGAACCTGTCAGTCTTCAAAAATTGTTAATAGGAAGAATGCTGTAAAAGTTCACAAGGAAATCAAGGATCCATCTCTTAAGTAGTTTGTGGTGCTACATTCTTGCTTTTTTAACAGTCTTTTAAATGTCATCTTATATCCCAAATGAATATTGTGGCAGTTCAGTTTACCTTTTAGATTTCACCCTTGAAACTCCTTGAGAAGGGCTGGGGCTGCACCTCAGGGGCAGAGCACTTGCATAACGTGTGAGGCACTGGGTTCAATCCTTAGCACCACATAAAAATAAATAAAATAAAGGCATTCTGTCCATCTACAACTACAAAAAAAAAATGCTGAAACTTGATTACAAAAAAAAAAAAGAGAGAGAGAGAGAGACTCCTTGAGGAGAGACTATGTCTGGTTCATTTCTGTATCTCCCTCAAGTCTTCTAGTACAGAAGCACTCAGCAAATGTTAACTGCTTCTTCATGGCCATGATTCAATGTTGATAATATGGAATGAAATTATCTTCATGGTTCTTTAATGTTATCATCATTTTCCAGACTCTTCATTGGAAGAGAACAAAATTTGTGACTTCTGTTTTGGTCTCTTTAGAGGGGATGGGTTTGCAGTCATTCTGGCTGGCAAAAGTCTTTTCATTCTGACTTCACAGGTTATGAGTCAAAGAAGAGAAAATAGATGCTGAATATTTGTGTATTGGAATTAGACACACATGGCTCCCTATATAAACCATAATTTATAATCGCTCAGACACCAGAAATCTCTTCATCCCACCATAATTTCCTGTCAAGAAACTGCTGCCCACTTATTGATTGTCCAGTCATTGACACTTTGTGCATGCTTTCTGTGTATCCTTTTATTTAGTGTTTACTATAAAATCTTTGTGGGGCTGGGGGTGTAGCTCAGTGTAGAGCACTTGCCAAGCATGCATAAGGCCCTGGGCTCAATCCCCAGTACCAAAAAAAAACCTCTGATGGACAAAGACCCTATTAAATATCTCTTTGTACCTCCAATCCTGTCCTTTTATGACAAAGGTATTAAAAGGATAAGACTGTCAAGCTGTCTAATTATAAGATAATTTAGTGTCTGGCATGAAAGTTTTTAAAATTCAGAGCAGAATTTGATTATGCCTGACAGAGGCTCTGCATTGTCCTTTTCTGAAATAAAAAAACCTGTTTCTTAAGGCTGCTGAGATAGAATCATGGGATAGAAATTGAAGAGGGGAAAATAGATGGCTGAATATTTGTGGTTTTGAGTTACACACACGCAGCTCCCTGAATAACTCTCCTACCTAAGGCATATCTTTTCTCTACCTCTTGGTAATGTTATAATATTGCCCTGTTTATATCCTCCATAGTACTAATCATACCCTGAAATTGTTTATTTACTTCATTGTTTATTTCCTTATCGGTTACCATGTTTGTTTTATTTACTGTTGAATTATTAGCACATAGCTGAGAGTTCAGCCTATGATAGGAACTTGATAAATATTTCAATAAATAGTCTGAATAGATAATGAGAAGCAAACTTCAGCTAATGGATATGAATACCTGGTTGGAATTTCTAAAGCCCACTCTTGTTTCCACAAATTGGAGTTGAGGGACACATCTAGAGATTCTACCAAGACCAGCCTCTCTACACACATCCCAACTTCCCAGTCCCCTGCCTTGTTCCAAGTTGACTTTTCAGTAAAGCATTAAATGGTAATAAAAATACAAGCCTGAATATGCAGTGTCTAGACTTAATTCAATAGAGAATATCCAATTTATACCTTGTTTTTCATGTTCTTAACTCTAATGTCCTGATGGGATGGAAAATGTGTCTTGGGTCTGAGCACACTGCTTGCCTAGGGCAGCAACAGACCTTTCTTCAAATTTAAATTAGCTGAAGCCTGGTTTCCTATAAGTGAAAATAGAATATCCTGATTAAACACAGGCCATTCCACTTAGGTGACTTATCCAAAGTATTAGCTTTTTTATCTACTGACATTTATGATTAGAAAGCCTTAAGGTAATTAAATTTAATTAATGGCATCCTTTTGTACATTAGTACAGATTATCTGTTTCCTGCCAAAGAAGCTGCTTTTCTTCTCCTTATCTCATATTTAAGTTTGAATACATATTAAATATGTCTTTTAAAAAAACAACTGTGTACTGGGGAATAAGACTGATCAAATTGTATTACGTGCATGGAATATGGCATAGTGAATCTCACTATCATGTACAATTATAATGCACCAATAAATTTCTTTTTAATTAGAAAAAAGGAAACAACTCTGCAGAATAAGGATTGCGTGTCTTAAGCCACAGGTACAGATCTTTCTGCTACCATCTCCAAATGTGTTATGTTATAGTTCAAGTTATTTGAACTCTCCATCTGTAGATTATGAAAATAATTCTGAGTAAAGATGCTAGGAAAGTGTTCATTCATTGCATGATATTCTATATAGACAAAATATCAAGAAACAATATTTCTGTATACTTAAGCAAAAATAATTCTTTCTCTTAAGTGACTCTTCTGCCAACTTTCAACTTTTCCTGGAAAAATGGACCATTCCCATCATATGGGGATGAACCATACAAACCACAGTAGCACCATGCCACCATCTCACCATCACCCGACCTCAGCTTCGCACTCCCATGGCGGAGGAGACGGCAACATGATGATGATGGTAAGTGCCCGAAGAGGCAGCCCAGGCCCTCCCCCGCTCAGCTCTAGAAGTAGTGGGATTTTAGTACTGGAAGGTTATTATCTTTAAAGATCAGCTAACGGATGAAGAAGCGCTAATGCCGATCCCCAAACATGTCAAATGATTTGCCTAAATGTGGCAAATACAGAGTTACACCAGAAAAAATATTTCTAGGGACTCTTTCTTCTCTAGTCCCTTCTTTTGAAATTTGCCCTCTTCTGGATTAAGTTCTGGGCTTTTTTTTTTTTTTTTAAATGGACACAATACCTTTATTTTATTTTTTGTGTGGTGCTAAGGATCAAACCCAGTGCCTCACACATGCGAGGCAAGAGCTCCACCACTGAGCTCCACCCCAGCCCCAATTTCTGGGCTTCCTGCTTTGTGTAGAAAGAGAAACAGACCCCAGGTGCTGGGGAGGGCACAGGGAGTGCCCCTGCTCAAGGCCTATGGCATTAATGCTAATGTGAGGGAGAAGGCCTCCCACTTCCATGGATGTCATTTCTTAACTCTCACCCAAACCTGTCACTTTTAAATATGCTAAGCCTCTTTGGCATTTTCATTTAGGATCGTCAATCATTTCTAATGAATTTACTTTGGTTTTCTGGCAGCCTATGACCTTCTACTTTGGCTTTAAGAATGTGAAACTGTTGTTTTCCGGTTTGGTGATCAATACAGCTGGAGGTGAGTAAGCCAGCAGGTAGTGTTTAAAGGTGACAGTCACATGAGAGATGGTGACAGAGAATTTGGAAACTCAGCACCTCTTTCTGTCCAAACTACTGAATCAGTATGGTTATGTCATATAACTACCATATTTCCTATCCCCTAAAAGTAGTACTCATTTTGATCCTCTGGTAAACCTCCCTTCATTAATGTGTATGTTTTGTAACTCTGAAAAATAATTTAGATACCAGATAGGAACCTTTTGCAATTCATTTCCTTTCATCCTTTTCCAGAGTGTTTCCTTGTTTGATAAGTTATTGGAACTGGACCTAAGACCAAGTTCAAATAGCACAAAATAACCCTAGGTTAAATGTATTTCACAGATACATTAAGCCTCAAATAGTGAAATGGCTTGCCCAAGATCACATAGAGTTAGCATGTCAGAGCTAAGACAAGGACCCAGACCTTCTTAGAACTGCCTAGGCTAGCACTGTTTCTAGTGTACTAAACTGTGGACAACATCTTTTCCAATTCTTAGAGTCATATCCAGTTTAGGAGTGATAACCCACCTTTCATGTCTATCATGTTGCATTAGTATGCTTTAAATTAAAAATGCTAAAGCTCAATAGTCCGTTGGACTGCTTTAGGTACCAGATATATAATCTACACAATCTGTTTTGGGGAAATGGGCTATTGTATTAGTTCAGGTATTGTGTTAAATTATTAGGGTGATACATTAATGTCATTATCAGAACTTCACAGTATGAACACAGCATTGAAATGCCTATTCAAGAAATGTACTCTGCAGAACTCAGTGGCATATGCCTCTAATCCCAGTTATTTGGGAGGCTGAGTCAGGAGGAGGATCACAAATTCAAGGACAGTCTTGACAACTTAGAGAGTCCCTATTTTACGATAAAAAAAAAAAAAAAGGAGGTGAGTAAGCCATCTTATGGAGACACACAAAACTGTTGGGTAAGAAGATTAGGGATGGACTTCAGGGGTAGGATGCCCCTGAGTTCAACCCTTAGTAACAGGGAAAAAGAAGAAGAAGAAGAAATAGTCAGCATTTAAAAATAGGTTGTTGGGCTGGGGATGTGGCTCAAGCGGTAGCGCGCTTGCCTGGCATGCGTGCGGCCCGGGTTCGATCTTCAGCACCGCATACAAACAAAGATGTTGTGTCCGCCGAAAACTAAAAAATAAATATTAAAAAAAAATTCTCTCTCTCTCTCTCTCTCTCTCTCTCAAAAAAAAAAAAATAGGTTGTTAACAGGAGGCTGAGGCAGATCATTTGAGCCCAGGAGTTCAAGACCAGACTAGACAGCTTAAGAAGGCCCTACTCAAAAACAATTATTTTATTCCCCTTTTTGATATTCTACAATGTCTCAATGTAACAGAGCTGACTTAATAACATCCAGCAGCCAGAACAAAGGGTTATTGTTCAGATGACTTTTTGTATCTTGATCAGAAAGTAAGCCTAACACAGGGGTGCATATCTGTAGTCCCGGCTATTTAGGAGGCTGAGGCAAAAGGATCACTTGAGCCCAGGCATTTGAGATGGGTCTAGGCAAAACAGCAAGAGCCTCTCTGGAAAGAAAAAAATGTAAATTTGGTATGTAACTTGGATGATTACAATGTTAGCTTGCACAAGTCTCTAGGTTCAAGCCCCAGCATGAGAGAAAGAGTATTCTCCACCAGAAGCCATGGTTTTCATTAATGACAGCTGCTCTCCTATCTAAGCAGGTAAAGAGGTAACAATATAAAAACAAAACGTTGATAAAGCCAAGAGTTGCAGTACTTGTTCTCTGCTGTCTCTCTAGCTGGACAGCACACTGGCTAATGATTTGGACAGGTTTGAAAGTACCACCATCTTTTCTTTCCCCACTTAGAAATGGCTGGAGCTTTTGTGGCAGTGTTTTTACTAGCAATGTTCTATGAAGGACTCAAGATAGCCCGGGAGAGTCTGCTGCGCAAGTCACAAGTCAGCATTCGCTACAATTCCATGCCTGTCCCAGGACCAAATGGAACCATTCTTATGGAGACACACAAAACTGTTGGGTAAGAATATTGAACAAATCCAGATGGAAGTTCTAGAGATATAATTTAGTTGGGCAGCAAAGCAGCTAGTCTGTTAGCAGTATCTTATTGGCCTCCGACCTGAGATAGTGATTCTATGGAACCTTGATCAAAACTGGCTTTGGGAGGTTAGGGGTTGTAGGTTACAATGGGTCAAAGCAGGAGTAATAGAAACTTTCCTGCAAACACATATTTGTTCTGAGTTGTAAGTATTGGTCATTTTGGAAAGTCAGTAAAATCTGTATTTTTAAATATTTGCCAAAATAATAATGAACAAGTTAGGAATTTTAGGTGAGGGTATAAAAGAATGGCAGAATACAAATGATTCCTTTCTCTCAAGCCAGTTCTATCTTCATTTTGTTTACAATATAGGAGTTTTATGTCTGTTCTAAGAAAGTATTTGGATGACTTTTAGTTTTCTCTAGATATCAGGAAATGCTTTTTGAGATTCAGATTTCTTTTTAGAAATGTAGATCTTAAAACTAGATTGGACCTTATGAAATTCTATAGACCAACATCCTACTTTCAGGCAACAATATTATTTATTTCTGTTGCACTGATGAGCTTATTGAGGCCCAAAAAGGTATGGTACCTGAGGTGATACAGAGTGCGAGTTGTCAGGTCTCCTGTTCCTGATTTCTACTATCCCACCCAACTTTCACTTCTGATTCATTTTTGTAAAGTGTGAACTTTGCAAAGTTGGAGACCCCCAAATTATTCAGGCAAAGGGGCTGGGAATGTAGCTGAGTGGTAGAGCACTTACTAGCCTGGGTGAGGCCTTGAGTTCAATCCCCAATACCACAAAAAGAAAAGAAAAACAAAGTTTAAAAATATTCAGGCAAATAAGTGTGGGAGAGTGGGTTAGGATCCAAGGGAGAGAGAAACCAAGATTACTTCTCCTCCTTTACACCCCTCCCAAAAGGGTACCTCCTTCTGACTCATAACCTATCTGACCACTGCTTATAAACCTGGCAGCCCTATGGTGTTTCATTTCAGGTGTCAGTGAGCAACAAGCGTACACACAAGTACCGTGAATTGCCAGGGTGGCTGTGAGGCTGAGCTCATGGGCACAATTGCTCCCCGTTTCTCCTGATTGCAGAGCTCCTGTGAGACGATCATGTGTCCTTCTTTATCCCCAGGCAGCAGATGCTGAGCTTCCCTCACCTCCTGCAGACAGTGCTGCATGTCATCCAGGTGGTCATCAGCTACTTCCTCATGCTCATCTTCATGACCTACAATGGGTACCTCTGCATTGCAGTAGCAGCAGGGGCTGGAACAGGATACTTTCTCTTCAGCTGGAAGAAGGCAGTGGTAGTGGACATCACAGAGCATTGCCATTAACATCAGAATCCATGGTGTGGCCTTATTGATTGCAGTGGAAAGAGGTTCAAGACTGGAAGACGTGGTTCCTGCTCCAATCATCCCTCTTGCTCCTCTTTACACAAACACACACACCTGCTGAATAGAGGTCTAGTTTACAGTCTCCAAGATAAAATGGTGATTTCCCAAACTGTTTTTTTCTAATAAGCTGAGATTCTCATTCCTTTTGAGAAGCCTCCCATAAGCTGTCCTCTCCCCCCTCATCACCCTAGATCCTTGTCTAATCCAGGTAGCTTTCTAGTGGATGACTTGTTCATCTGTGTCCTTTCTTAATCTTCTGGGTTTTCTTTAACAGACAATATGTGAATTTGGTGGGATTTTTTTCTGGGTCAGTGATGGATCGGGATTAACTTCAGCCAGCAATGGTAGCTGAGGGAGATTCTTGCCCAACTAAACCCAGGACTCAAACATCATATTAGAAAGTAAGCTTCAGTCCTTGGACTCAGTGGGTGAGAACGACATTGTGCCTTCTCTAGGTGTGGTGTGTGGCACAAAATCTTTGTAGCTTTTGAGGTGTTTTGAGACTAAAACAGGCCTAGAGCTTGCAGAATGTGTATTCTTGGGCTGTGAACTCATCAACATGTGTTCCCACTTAACATTTTGATTTGAAGGAGCTTGTCAGTTTAAAAATAAAAAAGACAATCAATTAGAGAAAATAGATATAGATATTTTTAAATAAAACCATTGGCATTTTACTTGGACTTGGTACTTTGGTTTTTCCAAGCTGAATTTAGTAAAAGAGTTTGAATTCTTTTTTCCCATTATTTTCATTTGTCTGCATCTAAACCAGTGATTTTCAACCTTTAGCATGCATCTTAGAATCACCTGGTGGGCTTGGTAAGACATTAGTTGTGGGCCTTAACCCCAGAGCCCCCAAATTGGCATTTCTAAGTTCCCAGGTGATATTCCTGCTGATGGTCCAGAGGGTTACACTTTGAGAATCTCTGCTTTAAACTGAGGAAGTGTCACCTGGGGAGGAGAGGGGCTCCCTGGGCATGAAAATTTGAATTGCTGGTTGTAGATGCTATGTCTGAGCATACCTCACATAGTGAAGCTGCTAGTCAATACTTTATCATTCCACAAACTTTTTTTCAGCTCCTGCTGTGTGTGCACGGGTGTGAAGGACTATAGCCAAAGTACTTTTATCAGCATGTATGAAGTCACTCGTCCTTATTTTTAAGATCTGTGGTTTCTTGGAAGTAGTTTGAAGGCTGAGAGAGACCTTTGATCTGTGGTGTAAATCAGATAGGCATGGGCCAGGAGGGCAAAAGCCCCATTTTCTCTTTGGAGAGACTTAGGGTGTGGTCTGCTGATGGCCAGATCTTCCTCATCCTCCACCATCCATGCCCCTGCAGGGCAGATCCGCATTGTCTATGTGACCATCTTTATTACTCTTGGGGACTGAATTAGATCACAGGTGGCCCAAACCTCTTTTCACAATGAAGAATCATATTGGATTTTTATTCTGTTCAGTCTTAGTCTGTATTGCAGTCTTCTTCCCAAACTACCTCTTTAAAGTGATTCTTCCTGTGCTGGTCTGTTAAATCCTGCCCTTCTTGGTGCTAGAGCCTGCTGTGCCTCAGGGCAGAGAAGACCAAAAAAAAAAAAAAAAAAGCAGCTATCTCATAGACCTGTGTTGTGGTTTTGAAGTTTGTACTTTCTCTGTGGCTGCCAGTTAAATATTGGAGAGTGAGGAATGTGTACTTCTATGGCTTTGAACCAAGAGGGTTATGGCCTACTGGATTTAGGTTAAAATCCAAGCAGCAGCATTTAGAGCTTTGTGCTTTCCTCTCATTTCATCCCCTTGTAGTGCTGATACTTGTAGGCAAGAGCTGTGAATGACAGGAGCCCAGCATTAAGGTGTAAAAGCTTCTTGTTGTGTCAGAAGCCAAGGGATGATAAAACCTGAGGAATATGTAAGAATCAATGCCCAGTAGTGACCAACATGAGCTACTATAAACTATAAACTTCCAAAAACAAGATCTTATCAGTAAGTGAGAAAAATCAAGGCCAAACCAAAAAAAAAAAATCAAGGCCAGTTAAGACAAAGTACTTTGAATTTTAAATTCACCAAGAGAAACCTCAGTTTGCGACAGGTCTTCGGTGTTCAGGGTAGAGAAAATCTCCTAAAAAGACTGAATTTTAGAGATCCTCAGACTAGGTTGCCAAAGGATAAAGCTAGGGAAGGTGAAAAAAGTTAAAGCTTAAATTCCATCACTCTAGCTTTGTCTCAGTGGTGTTCACTTCTGTATCCCTGTTCACTCAGAATTTACTTCCTGATATCTTTGACTTTTGGGATCTAAACTTCTCTTTTCCTCCTTCCCTGTTCATATCTGGAAGACTGTATCCCCATTTCTTTGACCGTTATTACTCTGCTCTCCTCTTCCCTGTCTTTGTCTTTTCTCCCACATGGTCTAGTGGGTTAAATCTCCCCGGCTATCCTGGTGTAGTGGGCATCGCTACACGGTGAATATAAATACCAGTCAGAAGTTGGTATTTATAAACCTGTAGAAACCTAAGTAGGCTTCAAGAAGCAACTAGAATTTCTCTTAAGACTGGGTAAAGGGCTACCTATTACCCTCCCCAGAGTTATAAAATTGTAGGTGCTGCTCCAGTCTGATGCAGGAACACTCAACTCCTACAAATAAGGAATCCACTTGTCCACCAGGAGAAAAGAAATTAAGAGTCTCTTCACTACTGCTATTTAGGGTTGCCCAGAATTCCCTTTCAGTCTGTGGGTACGTAGGTTCCTGTCACAAGGGGTTCCTTTTAAAGAGCTAGGGGTGAGGCAGGGGGTACATGTTCATGTCATTTAATTTTCATCCTGCCCCTCCAGCTGCTTCTTCAGAAGATATATCTAAAGATACAAAGTTTGCATTTGATATAATGCCTTAATCATTGGGTCTACAATTCATGTTGACTGTCTTAGATTGTAAGCTCCTGGAGAGCAGTATTGCTGTAGTAGGGATGTTTTAACATGTCATGTGCAAAAGAACAAAATAAATATTTTGATTTTATTTTACTTCTGTGCATGTCTTCCTATCCAGGATGATTATCAGAAGCTGGTCCTTTTCTTTACAGTCTGCACAGAGCTTGGCCATTACCATTGGTTTTTAAGATGTCAGAGTCTCTCAGATGGCATGATCCCATCATTTTCATCTCACTGTCCTCCCACAAGCTACTACATGTCACAAGATCTACCTGACCCTTTGCAGGAAAGAAGTGGTCTTCATGAAGCTGCAGGTCTTCCAGTACACGAAGATTTCTGCATTTAAAAGTTAATTTTTGTCACCTCATAATCCCTTTGCTGTGTTTATGCCATCAGACAGGAGGCTCTGAGCTATTTCCAAAGTTTATTACCAAACTTGTTATAAGCATTGACCTTGTCTATCCCTTTAGAAACACCAGAATGTTGCTGTTATTTCCAATTCCTGCTGGCCCCCAGTGGGCATCTTACCGTTCAGTACCACGCCTACTATCTTCCTTTAACGTAATATGAGCATGCACTTTGGAGTCAATGGGTTTGAGTTCAGCCTCCACCACTTACTAACAAGGTGACTTTAGGAAAAATTATTCTAACAATGGGTAAACCTTAGTTTTCTTATTTAGAGGAAGGCAATAATAGCATCTCATTACATTAGGAGCAATATGATTAAGGTACTCCACACTAAACAGGCATCCAAGGCATAGTATGTCTTTTGTTATCGACTGATTATATTGTTCCATCAGTTTTCAAGAAAAAGAAAGGTTCTCTCTTCTGGATCAGGTTAGTATCTCTTTCTAAGTACCTGACCAACTTCCTCAATTTGGGGATTCCAGAACTGAATAGCTCCTAAGACAGAATTGATGCATGTGATTTCAGTTGTGCTAAAAGATTTACAGTTGCAATAAGCCCTAATTACTAATGTAGTAATTATCTCATTGTTTATAAAATGGTGTGGAAATTCCATGAGACCTGAAAAAAGCAATCTCTCATTCTATCCAATTATCCCCCCTTTCTTAGACTGAACTGAGGAAGACTAAGAAGGCAAAGTAGCAAAGATATCTAGAAGCATGGGTTCAGAAGGCAGACCGCCTGTAATCAGATCTCAGCCCTACCACTTAATTGCTGAGCTGCAGTTTCACCTCCTGTGATAGAATAAAGTACCCTCTTCATAGGAGTTAGAATTAGTAAGGTAATCTGCACGAAGCATCTGCTGCTGGCTATTAGTAGAGATCGGGAAGATAGGAACCACAATGTTTTCATGCTTCTGTGCCAATTCATGCTGGAAAGTCATAATGACAAAGACGAAGGCAGAGTCTTGTTCCTTCCTCTATTTATTTGTGGGGTTTTTTTGCTTGGTTGGTTGGTTGGTTTGGTTGGTGATTTTCTCCCTTCCATAAGGCCTTTACAGGCTTCGATAGAATATAACTTGATTTCCCTATCTGCAGCCTGACTCTTGGGGTTTCACTATTGTTTTTAAGACAGTAAGGTAACAGAACTGGTGAGTCCTACATAAAACTGGAAGAACAAAGGTTTTGTAAGGATGTCTGGAGTAAAAATGGAAACTATCTCATTCTACCCCAGCATATCCTATATTAATGTTACTCAGACTTAAACTATCCCCAAAAGGCTGGGTAAAACCCATCAATTATCTTTACAACTGATGATTCCAAAGGTGGTTAATACCTTTGGAATTAATGGTTCCCTGCCATTGAATTTAATGTTGAAATTAGGGCACCATTTGAAATTACCCTCTGAGCTGCTCTTGGATGGGTTCCCACTGGAAAAATTCTTAGGCAAGTTGAGAAAGGAAGAAAAATTGGAATAACAGTAAATTCCAAGGAGAATCCCTCATGTTTTGCTCCATTGCCTGTCCTCCCAAAGTTGCACCCAAACCAGTTGCAAAGCCATGCTATAAACAGATCTGGCACCTACAGCTTGTTCAGTTGACACACAAATCTAATCTCTGTGAGGGCAGAGGTCTTTTTGGTTTGTTTTTTAGTTGTAAATGGACAGAATGCCTTTATTTTGTTTATTTTTATGTTGTGCTGAGGATCAAACCCAGTGCCTCATGCATGCTAGGCAAGCGCTCTGCTGCTGAGCTACGACCCCAGCCTCAGGGGTCTTTTTTGATTGGCACATTGTAGGCATTCAATCCTTGTTAAATAAAAGAGTAAAAACAAAGTGACAGATCAACCAGAAGATTGTGTACTCTGGGTCTCTAAGTAAAGACTGAAAGGATAATTTTTTTTCCCATACTAGGGATTGTTAACTAAGTGTCCCAGACAGGCCTCAAATTTGCAATTCTCCTGCCTCAGACTCCCAAGTCACAGGGATTATAGATCTGCACAATCACACCCAGCAGCAATTACCTTTTAAAACCCAGGGTTTAGCAGTGCCACTATGCTTCATCAAGGATGTCTCACGTTTTTCCAAAAATATATTTATTTTTAAAAACAAAAATCAGATAAGTTTTATAGAGTCAAATTTTCCAGAAACAAACCAGAGTTCGGATTCCAGCTTAGAGTGAAAGTCAAACATCAGTAATTTCACGCAGAAGTGATTTCTTTCTACAGGAGATAAAACATTCTGCTTGACTGCAAGCACTCAATTCTCTAAATCTGATTGTACTTCTGCCATCATTTCATTCCATTCCAGGGCTCTGGCATGCAAACGAATCCATCTCTAAAATTCAAAATTTCCAAATTGAGATGAGCGATTGCTGGGCTTGGGTTGGGGTTTATAACCAATTCGTTCATTAATCATTTGTTCCCGGCTCTTGGGGTCACTGCTGAGCCCCATGGCTCCTTCTCCATCACTGCCTCCTACAACATCCACATCTTCCTTCTGTTTCTTACGGGTCTGCAAGCATAAAATTTTTAGGATTTAAAACATTTTTTAAATTAACCAAATGTGTATGTAGCACTTATCATGTACTAGATGGGCTGGGTTAAAGGACAGGGTTCAGGACTAATGAAGAAAAAAACCAAAATCCTAAGTTTAAGATAGTTATGGGTACAAGAGAGATATTGGCATGCAGTGATAAAAGACAGAACTCTTTCTCTCCAGGATGTCATGTCACAGCAAACAGACTATGACTACATAGGGAGATCAGGGCTATGACAGAGGGAGGCCCACACTGCCATACTCCAGGGTGGAAGAGTTGGGGGTGTGGTGGAGGAGGTTCGGAGCAGGAAGCTGCACCTGGAAAACATGAGAGCAGTGAGGGGGACCAAAGGGTGTTTCAGCAAATGCACTATTCAAGACAATGCACGGAAAAATAATAGGACAGTAAAACAACCATCAAAAATCTACAGCCTGACTGACTCCACGAGGCTACAAGTCTAGAAAGTTTTATGCTTAACAAAAGTCTGTTTGGGGGCTTTGTTTTGATTTATTTTTTACTTTTTTTTAATTCCTGGTACCACTCCACAACTTACAGGGCAAAATTCATGATGTAATGAAAGGGGGAAAAAAAGCTGCAACAGATACAAGACCTTAGTGTATGTGGAACTGACCCTACCCTGCATTATTGAACAGCTGCTCTTGATGCTACTGTGGTCTGACAGTCCTGAACAAGGGGTTCCTGTTTAAACTGCAATGACCTGTCTGACTATGGGCCATTATTCTTTCTGTGACAGATTTTTACAGTTTCTCTAATGCATTTGGGACAACTGTCTCCAACTAATTTGTAGCATTCCTGACAATTCTCCCTTTCTCTCCTAAGAACTGCAGCCCTTTCTGCTGTGTTCAGAACCCTCTGCTACCATATCCAGCACCATAGGGACTTGCTTAGGGAGCTTCTTCCACCAAAATTGTCCCCTTTTGTAGGTCCATAATTTTTCCACTATAATTTCCAAAATCATTAGAGTTCCCATCACCCACCATAGTTACCACTTCCAAAACTTCCTCCACTGTAACCATCGTTTATCTACCACATCTGCTACCTGGGTTTCGTATCTCCACAGCCTTCTCTACTAATATAACCAGGACCACCTCCAACTCGGTGATAGCCACCACGACATCCTCCATGACTCCCTCTTGCTGCTACCATCTCCACCATCATAATCTCTTCTTCCACCAAAGTTTCCGCCATAGTCAAAAGTACTTCCACCACCTCCAAAGTTTCTTCCATGGCCCAAAAAGTTGCTAGATCTGCATCCCTGATATCTTTGTGATTCAGCAGAATGAATCTCTTGTTTAGAAAGGGCCTTTTTCACTTTACAATTATGTTCACTAATAGTGTAGTATTCCTGAACAACTTCTACCAGGCTCACAGAATCCTCTCTAGAAATAGTCTTTGGTTCTGCTTCATATACATGAGCCTTGTATGGTCATACACACATCTCTTAATCCACTTTTTTTTTTTTAATTTTCTTAGTTGTAGATGGACACAATACCTTTTATTTTATTTATTCATTTTTATGTAGTGCTGAGAATTAAACTTGGTGCCTCACGTGTGTGCTAAACAACGCTCTACCACTGAGCTACAACCCCAGCCCCTCATCCACCTTTTTAACACAAGGGGAAGTCACAAAACCAAAACTCTTGGAACATTTTATTTGGGGACATCTCATTACCAGTACAATCTGTGAGTATGCCTCATTTCTCCAAATGTTCTCAAATTATCATCTGTACTCTGAAAGAAAGCTTAGACCACCAACAATTTTCTCAACTGCTCTGGTTCCTTTCGATCGTGTCCCTTCCCTCTCCAGGGGCAGCAGCAATCAGCATCCTGGCCTTGGGGCAATCAGGTGGCAGTTTTACTGCCATTTTGAGATGAGACTTGACTCTTTCAACTCAAGTTCAATATAGGACGAAGAGAAAGAAGCCAGGCTTCATCCTGTTTTCAGAAAAAGGTTTGGCTCTGAAACCACAAGTGACTAAGGATTCATAAAGGATGTCTTAAGTTTGATCATTTTCAAAAAGAGACTAACAATTATGCCCAAAGTACCACCACCTAACTGCAAAGATGATATTAGATGATGATAACTTTCTCTAAAGCAGAAAAAAGGAGGTTTAATTGGAGTTCCTTACTAGGAGAGCAGCTCAACTGCTCAAATCCCTAGATTGACCACCACTATATGCCCCCTGCTGATGAACTGTGAGCACTTAGCTGCCAATATCAAAGTATTACAATGAATCAGATAACATAGGGATTGAATATTACTAATCTAAAATGTTTGGGTCTTAAAGAGTTTTGGAATTCGGAGGTTTCCAAATTTTGGAATATTCACATAAATTATACAGGTTGATCATCCCTAATCCGAAAATCCCAGATCTGAAATACTCCAATATCTAAACTTTCCTTTTCCTAACATGAACACTAATCTTCCAGAATCTAGAGTCATGCTAGTGTAATCAAACTTAATTTCAGTAAAAAGTAAAATACCAGTTTTCTATTGGTTTCATTTTCGTTTAGGGCAAAATTGTCCCTCCTTTTTAAGTTGCTCTAAAACAGGTCAAACCTACTAGATAATTGCCTTTAGAGGAAGATTAACTCAATGGTGAGCTGACTCTGCAAAGTCAAAGTTCATATGTTAGCATTTTATGACATTCATTACAACTGAATTTTATACTGTTCTTAAAATTTACCTCCAATAATACACTATCAATATAAATTCTTAAAAAGAAAAAAAAAACAAGATGATATCTGGAGAACACTAAATTTGCTGGGATGAAGAAAGGGGAAAAGAAACCTGATACTAGTCTTAATATGAAATTGTATACAATTCACAATAGCTAAACTGTGGAACCAATCTAGATGCCTTCAGTGGATGAATGGATTTAAAAAAAAATGTGGCATATATACACAATGGAATTTTACTCAGCAATAAAAGAGAATAAAATAAAAGAGAATAAAATCATGACATTTGCAGGTAAATGGATGGCATTGGAGAAGATAATGCTAAATGAAGTTAGCCAATCCCAAAAAAACAAATGCCGAATGTTTTCTCTGATATAAGGAGGCTGACTCATAGTGGGGTAGGGATGGGGAGCATGGGAGGAATAGATTAATTCTAGATATGGCAGAGGGGTGGGAGAGAAAGGGAAGGGACAGGGGATTAGCAAGGATGGTGGTATGTGATAGACATCATCATCCAAAGTACATGTATGAAGACATGAATTGGTGTCAACATACTTTATATACAACCAGAGATATGAAAAATTGTGCTGTATACATGTAATAAGAATCGTAATGCATTCCTCTGTCATTTATTTTTTTTTTTTTTAAATTTTTAAAAAAATGAAATGTAAACAATATACAGTAAGGTCAACCATGTTCATGGATACATGGAAGTGATAACATCCCCTGCCACATAATGCAAAATATCTAATAGGACAGCAAATGAAAATAGACTTGAAATAAGCCCTCTTTTGGAAACAATTACAGAGATGAATATACTAATTCTTGCCTTCAACAGGTATACAGCCAACAGTGGAGAAAACAGAAAAGCAGACAATTACAATGAAGAGTGATAGTACCTATAAGAGAGATCAGTACCAAGGGAGAAGGCTGAACTTAACCCAGCTGGGGACTGGAATGAGCTGAGTCAAAAGATGAGAAGGAATTAGCCTGACAAAGGACAAGGGCATTTCAGGCAAAGAGAACCCAGTGTGTATAGGCACTGAGATTCAAGTTAAAGATAACCTGGCAGTGGAAGATAAAGTAGAGAGCTAAATAAAGACCCAGTCACAAAGGGCCTCACATGCCACACTAAAGAATTATGACTCTGTCCTGAAAGCCAATGAAGAATTTAAGTTTTATTAGTAGACATCAAATACTGTTTGGCAAAATCACATTTAAAAATACATATTAAGTTCCTCCTATATGCTAGATGCTGGGAACACAATGATGAAGAAGATAGGCATGATTTCTTCAATCAAGATTTCGAATATGAAATAATTTTATAATAAACAATAATTGCAAATTATAAGATTTGCTATGAAAAAAAGTATGGTGCTTCTTGAGACCCAAATGAGATGAAGGTAGAAGGGACAAGAAGGATATAGCTGACTTAGGTAGGGTCAGATGAGGCCTCTCGGACCAAGTGGGGGAAACAGACTAGTACTGGAAGAAAGGGAGCACTCCAGGCAAAGGAACTAATATATGCCAAGGCCATGGAAAGGATCGATTGTTTGAAATATTCAAAAAAGATGCAAGAAGCCATTGTGTTTAGGATATAGAGAAACAAGGCAAGAGATGAAACTGGCGAGGAACTACAATGTACAGAACCTTACAGGCCCACAAGAAAGAATTCAGATTTTATTCCAAATGCAGGAAACCACTGAGGAGTTTTAAAACAAAGAAAGGCACATCCTGAAAAGAAAATTAAAGATTATTCTAGATACCTGATAAAAAAATGGATTAGAAAAAAATGGGAGTAGAAAGACCATTTAGAAAGCTACTAAAAATCTGGGTGTGGTGCCACATGCCTATAATCCCAGCTACTCAGGAGGCTGAGGCAGGAGGATTGCAAGTTTAAGGACAGTCAGAGCAACTTAGTGAGACTGTCTCAAAATAAACTAAAAAGGGTTGTGAATGCAGCTCAGTGGTAGAGAGCTTACCCAGCATGCACAAGACCCTAGACTCAATCCCCAGTCCTAAAGAAAAAGAAAAATAAAGCTAGCTATCTTCTAAAATTGTACAGGGAGAGATGGTTATTGGGTTGTAACTGCGGAGATGAAAAGGTAGATTCTAGATGTCTAGAATCAGATAATTTACAGACAGATTGAATTTAAAGAATGAGGGAGGGCTGGTGTTGTGGCTCAGTGGTAGAGTGCTCGCCTAGCACGTGTGAGGCCCTGGGTTCGATCTCAGCATCACGTAAAAATAAATAAAATAAAGGTATTGTGTCCAACTACAACTTAAAAAAAAAAAAAAAAGAATGAGGGAAAAGAAGGACTCAAAAATGAGCACTCAGTTTCTGGCCTCAGCAACTGGAAAGACATGCAATGGGATGACTGGTTTGATAGAGAAATCGAGTTTTGTCTTTTTTTTTCTTTTTAACATGTTAAGCTCAGTAGGCTGAATGAATAATGACCTCCAAGGCTATCAGTCCCTGATTCCTAGAACCTACAAATTTTATCTTATCTGAAAATAAATAAATAAATCTCTGCAGATATGATTAAATTTAGGAACTTGAGATGGAGTATCCAAGTGAACCCTAAAAGTAATTACATATATGCTTATTAAGGGAGGCAGACGGAGACTTCACAAACAGAAAAGAAGTGGGAAATGTGCCAGGGATACAAGAATGGAGTGAGGTGGCCACAATGGAGGAACACCAGCAGCCTCCAGAAAACAGAAGAGCCAAGACAGTGATTCTCCCTACAGCCTCTAGAGGGAGCATGGTCCTGCCAACACCTTCCTTGATTTCAGCCCAATCATACTGACTTCAGATCTGTGGCCAATAGAACTGCAAAGAACAAATTTCTGATTTCAGGCCACCCAGTTTGTAGTACTTTGTTACAGCAGTCACATTAAATTTAAGATGTCCACAAATCATTCAAATAGACTTCAAATAAGTATAAGAGTCTGAGGTTCAGAAGTTAGTTACTGTTTTAAGTATTTCCTAAGGGTTTGAAAGTTGTATTCTTACCTCCAAGTCCTTCCGAATGCTCTCAAACTCTTCAATGTCATCAAGCTTCAGTTCCAGGCGTGTTGGTTTCCTTCGCAGCATACTGAGAGCAACACTAAGACAGACCCGATGAACTACTGAACTATTTTCAACTCTGTTCAAAATGGCAGAGAGGAAGGAAAACTGCAGGTGATAAGTCTCAGCTACAAGTATAAAATCAATTTGTAAGCATGCACACTAAGGTGAATGGAGGTATTTGAAAAACTCATTTTGATTTACACGTAGACTTATAAATTCTTCAGGTATCTAATTATACCATTTTTATTACATGAAGAAGATCTACAACCCTATAATTCCAAAACACTCTTTCTGAAAGAACTTACAACAGCAAACAAGCTGCCTATGATAGAGAATTCTTGGTAGCAATCACTTGAATCTAGTACTCCAGTCACATTTAGGAGCAGTATGGTGGCATATACCTGTTGCTCCAGTTACTCAGAACTAGTTGAGCCCAGGAGTTCAAAGCTAGCCTGAGGAACATAGCGAGACCCCATCTCAAATAAATAAATAGACAAAGGTAACTAGGACATCCTAATTGGGTATCCTTAGGGGCAGAGTGAATAAACCATTAAATTTAATCTGCTCTACATGAGAATCATCAGAGATTGTGATACAAAAGTCAGTTTGCCAAATCTCACAGAAACGTAAACTCACCAATTCACAAGATTATCCTCAGAATCTAAGGAAATCTTAAATGGATAAGTCATTCATTAAACAAACTCTTCCTGTGCTCCAGCTACACACTTGAAAGGCACAGTCGCAATCTGTGAGGAAAACAGATAAGAAAACAGGAAATTGCAACAGGGTATAATGAGAAATCTGATGACAGTAATTCATCAGCATCACACCAGCACACAAGGCAGGCCAGGGTACATGTGGTGCACAGGGACATTAGGTGAGGTATCTTGCAGGAAATGATGTTCTGGCTGATTTCTGAAGGGCAGGTAGAGAGAAAGTGCACATAGAGGCTTGAGAGGGCACTTCATGAGGCAATACCTGTGTTAACAAACACCATTTTTTGAAAAAAAAAACAAAATACTCCCCTAGTTGAGATTAACATCTACTGAAACTATGGATAAATGTTTGAATAAAATGAAGGATACAAATAGAGAAAGGGAAATGAATTTTTCTTGAGCTCTGTGCTAGGCTTTTGCTTCCCCATTCTTTAAGTTCCTATTTAACACAAAAACTCTGTGAAGCTGGCAAAATCATCCCAATTTTACAGACACAGAAGTGGAAGCAAGCTGTTCATTATATACATAGGTCAATATAGTGATCATTAAATGACAATGATGTAAATGGCAGTCTTATTAAAGTACGTACAGATATAAATTACTATTAGATGTATCTAGGATGAAACAAGGGACTGTGAAGTATACAAAGGAAGAAACATTTCCTCCTCCCATGAGGCTCTGGACAGTTACAGGTGATATCATCAACACAAAACACTGACACGACTTTTCAAATTATTCTGTACTAAATCAGATACTGTCTTCTACCATATTTCAAAATAAAGAAAAGGTAGGGGAAGCCAAAGCCCAAAGGAGATGGGGAAGGGATGCTTAGAGGAAAAAAAAACAAAAAACAGCTGGGGGTTGGGGAGGGGGAGTGAAACCTTGCCACGAGGCGGCAGTATAGAGTAATAGTTAAAGTGCAGGCTGTCCTCGCGAAGGCCGAGGTTCCCATCCCACGACGTTACCTACCCTGAACGATTAGCGCCATTTCTCACTGGATCTTAGTTTCTGTCTATACTCCGTCGTGTAAGTTAATTGACGTAATGTACTATAAGCTTCTCGAACATAAATTGGCACTTAGCAAAGCGCTCAAAAAATAAAAATCTATTATTTTTATAACTATTCCAGGGAGTAGGGTTGGGGAGGGAGTTTGTCCAGTTCCTCGAACAGGAGCATTTTGAGACTGCCCCCCACGCCCCATACAGGGATAAAAACCTTGTGTCGTTCATCCCTGGCGCCCCAGCAGCAGCGGGGCACTGGGCAGTACAGAGAGCTGCACGCAGTTTACCTGAAGCCTTCTTACCCATCATCTCATCCTCTATCCGACACAAAGAACAGGCTGAACACAACAAAACAAAACCAACAACAAAATCAGGCCGAAGCTCCTCCGCCACGTCTTTATTTTACTCCGGCGCTAGAGGGCCCTTCCAGCTTCATCTCGCTGCGGCCCAAATCCACCGCGAATTCGCCCAGCTCCGTCCGAGGAGCTCCGGGGAGGACTTCCCGACATCCCTCCTCCCGCAGCTGCAAAGTTGCACTCAAGCACTCAAGAGCGGGTTTCCATGGCAACATGCTCCTGGGCTCAGAGACCACCGAAAGCCTCAGATAAGCCCGGGCACCTAGATAAACTCCAGAGTTCAGCCCGGAACCGCGCGACTCCGCGCACTTACCTTTTTCCAAGCTTCGGCCCCTTCCCGGAACCTCGTCTCCCACCACGAATCTGGTGCGGAGTCCGCAGAACTACACTTCCCAGCCTGCTCTGCACCTCTCTTCACGGAGAACCTCGTCTTCCGCGAGCTTTGCTTGGAGGCTCTACGGTCACGCCCCCTTCCCATTCGGCCAGAATCTTTGCTACTACGACTCCCGTCATGCCCCGAGCGCTTAGGGCGCTGCGTCGGCTCTTGACCCACTTCCGGCAGGTGACGCAATTCCGCTTTGCTGGGCGCGCGGTGGACGGTCTGAAACCTAGAGCGCGGCTTTCGCTGGGGCTTGGCGGCTCCTGGGCCCGGCATGGCTTCTTCACGAGCTTCCTCCACGGTACAGAGCTCGGGATCTCAGTTCACTGTGGCAAGGAGCCGAAGAGGGTGGGGTCCTTATGGGAAGGGGCCATTAGGGAGCGGGCTGAGGCCGTGGAGGGCCGAGGAGGAAGGCTGCTGGACTCTGGTATCCTGGAGAGCCCAGCAGCGTTTTCCTGGACCCCAAGAGCTTTCATGTGCTATGTGGCTCTTGCATCTCTCGCATTACGCCCCGAACGGTAAACACTTACTCCGACTGGTCTAAAAAACGGTGCCCTGGAGCGAGGAATGCTCTGGCCAAGAGTTACGTCCTTGGAATTGTAATGAGGCCTCCTAACTCATATTCAGTCTGAAAACATTTGAAATGTGAAAATCAGTAACGTTGTAACTTGTTTCCCTTTAGCACCGCATTGGTTTTATCTGTTACCCTTGATATTTCCCCAGTGATGATCAATAAGCCCTGGAAGAATCAAAAAAACCTATTGCATTTCAAACAGAATGAAGTAGGCATGTTCCAAAGCAGATCTTTGATTAAAAAAAAAAAGTCACCAAAAGAACTTAACTAGTTTGTTTGTTTTGTTTTTTTATCCACCTCTTTTTTCCTATCGGGCAGATTTGAGTGAGAGAATAAAACACCCTCTCCCACCCTCGCAAATCAGTGAAGAACATCTTAACTAGTGCTGAAGCTGCCCTTTGGATTTTAGAGGAAACAGTATTGATTGACGCTCAGGATGAGCATCATCCTTTGGGAAAGCCTGGTAAATTTCTAAGATTGTTTTAGGTTAACCCAACCTTTTGATTTAACAGGCACCCAAAACTAAAGCACCCGACGACTTAGTGGCTCCTGTTGTGAAGAAACCACACATCTATTATGGAAGTTTGGAAGAGAAGGAGAGAGAACGTCTGGCCAAAGGAGAGTCTGGCATTTTGGGTAAAGAAGGACTGAAAGCAGGAATTGAAGCAGGAAATATTAATATAACCTCTGGTAAGATGCAAATTCCAAGTCCATCTTTACCTTCGTGGCTGCAGTTTTCTGTAATGAATGTAATGAATACCTTCCCAAACTTAGCACTCATTTTATAATGTCAAAAGTTCAGTCTTTACACTTGCATCTGTATATTTGTGCTTTGCCTGTCCTTCTTCGCAGCATCCAGAGATTTTGTTTAAAAAGTTTTTCTTCCACTAATTATTATTAGTTTTTTTATAAGTTTATTCAGTGTGTTTTTGGGTTCATATTGATTCTGTTTATTTTCTGGACATCTAACAGTTTGAGCATTAGTTTGAAACTAAAGTTGTTAAATAATATCCGTTTTACTTTTCCTGTTATTACCCCAACTGAAATAACTTTTTTAAATTAAAAAGATAATAGTTACTTTTATTTTTAAAGATCAAACTATGAAGTAGAAAATCTTGTATTTCTTTTTAATTGAATGAATTTCTTTTGAGAATTTTAAAGTAACTATAAAAATACATAATTTTTTTCTGTAAATGAAACCATAATATATAAACTTGTTTTGTAGCCAGCACTTTTCACTCTATATATTATTCGTGATATCTTTCCATGACAGTAACAAGAATTCTACTGTATTTTTAAGATAAAATTATATCTATTTATCATAAAGTCAGACAGTACAGGGGTATAAGAAGAAAAGAATCCTCTGCAGGAAGGACTTTTGTCAGGTTTCTCATCCTTCCACACTTTTTCTACATCGTATACATTAGTAACTTTTTTTTTTTTTTTAACTTTTCTGCTTTTTTTAAGACTAACTGCTTCATTATTGCACCTCACATTTTTCATTTAGATGTACATATTTGGTGCAAGTTTAAAAAATTAGTTTCTAGATTATCCAAAAAAGCCTTATAAAAGGGAATTTTATTTTCCTGGTAATTATTTCCGGTTTACTAATTAATATTTGTAAGTGTTCCTGTACCGGGACTGTTCTTAGCAAATAGTCTTAGCAAGTGTTAAAATAATATTTCTAGTTCACCTTCTGATTAGAAGGCTAGTAAACTCATTTGCTAAAGATGTTCTGTACTCTTTCTGATCTCATCTAAACTATGTTTATAAACTGAAAATGGTAAATTATAAAGTGTATAATAGGCATTTACCTCTCTTTAGGGTCATATACATACTTTGTTAAAAATTATTTCTTTCTCCTTATTTAAAGAAGGTCTGGTGAGTTGCTAATATTGCATATTCCTTTTGTAGGAGAAGTATTTGAAATTGAAGAGCACATCAGTGAACGGCAGGCAGAAGTATTGGCTGAGTTTGAAAGAAGGAAGAGAGCCCGGCAAATCAATGTTTCCACAGACGACTCAGAGGTCAAGGCTTGCCTTAGAGCCTTAGGGGAACCCATTACACTTTTTGGAGAGGGCCCTGCTGAAAGAAGAGAAAGGTGACTTTTCTAAATATGTACTTTTTTTTTTTTTTAATTCATCACGGGGTTCTAGTTGCAAATCCAGTTGATCCTCTAGCTGAAACTTTAATAGAATTCTCAGTGTTATCAATATTTTAAGTTGTTTTTATATAGTTTTAACCCATAATCTGATTTTAGGCCAATTTTTACTCCAATATCAGCTTTCCTTTGTAGTGTGAAGAAGGTGCTAAGACACTCCCTTCCCACCCCAGTATGAAGTTGTGAGTTGGATAAACAGTTGTTGTTGAGCTTTGAAAATTTACACATCAAATATATTCTATGTCAGTGACACAAAACATAATGATATATATTTTGGGATATAATTACAGAAGCACTATCCTTGAATAATGCTCCTCTTGTGATATTAAGGTTGCGCAGTGTCATAGTGATGTGCACTTTTGAGGATTTTTCTCTTGTCTCTGTATCCATAAGGAACCATCTCTCCCCTCTATCATCAGGCTTCTTATAGAGATGGTTTGTATTTACTCTGTTTATTTAAGGCCCTTACTCCTTACTTTCCAGCCCCTTGCAAAATGATTGACCCCTAACACCTTGAAATTGCTCCCTAAGATCCCTAACCCATCTTTACTAAGACTAGCCCTAGTACACTGCCTGTCACTCTGCCTGAAACTCTCCCTCTCCTTTATTCCCATACAACCAAATCCTTCTGATTTTCCTCCTATTTCTCTACCTCATTCTCGCTTTTTCAGCCTCTTTTCCCTACCTAACCTTTATAGGCTGCAGCTCTTTGTCCTTATCCTATGCTCACCCTTGGAGATCAGTTCCACTCCATGGCATCATTTACTATGTATGTTCTGCTGACTTCCAAAAATTTCTGTCACCTAGAAGTACTTCCTACAAGTACTTCAAACTTGAGACAGCTTAATTGACATTTGTGGCCCACTCTTCTATTCCCCTTACAAATGGCACTATCATTCCCACAGTTCTCATTTGAAAACCCACCATACCTCCTTTGTTATCAGTCAGCAAAACCTAGTCTTTTCTGTTTGGGAATGTACCTCCAGTCTATCTGTGTTCTTTCACATCTAGATAGTTGGTGACAGCTGAAAATGTGTTAATTGTTTGCTTAAAAACCTACAGTTTCTGGGCTGGGGGTATATAGCTCAGTGGTAGTATACTTGCCTAGCATGCACAAGGCTCTGTTTTAATCCACAGCACAGGGGTGGGTTGGGGGGTCCTCCCATGTTTTCTTCTTATACTTGGAATAAGAAACCTCTAGTCATGACCAAAAAGGTCTTCAAACTCACCTTGTGCCATTCTTCCCCAATTTTCTAGACAGCCACATTGGCCCTCCTGAGTACTCAAGTTTTTTTCCTGTTTTCTACTAATCTTTTCTCTTTTTGTTCATACTTTGCCTTTTAGAGTTCTTTTATTCTTTTGTTTCAGCACAAATGCCACCTGTTCAAAGAAGCTTTTCCTAACACCTGATCCTTGCAAAGTGACCCCACCAATATTTTCTATCAAGTGTGTTATTTTTTTATGACTCAGAGAGTTTCTACAATAATACACAATGTGATTTTGCAGCCTTTATTCTTCCCTTTTAATCCATTCTCCATACTTTTCTAGGGATCTTCCTCAAATGTAAACTCTTCTTAGAATAACACTAACAGCTCTTTGTGACGTGGCTCCTACTTAAATTTCCTCCTTGTACCCCATGCTTCAGCTCTACTGAACTGTTTGTGATTCCGAGCTTAACGTGGTTTTCTTACCTCCAGAGGTTTAACTCTCTGCCTCAACTCTCATTTCTCCATGTTTTGGGGGTGTTTTTATTTTTTATTTTGCAGTACTAAGGATTGAACCAGGGATGCTCTACCATTGAGCTACACCAGCCCTTTTTATTTTATGTTGAGACAGGGTCTCACTAAGTTATCCAGGCTAGCCTTGAACTTGCAATTCCCTTGCCTCAGCCTCTTGAGTCACTGAGGTTACAGGTGTGCAGCACTGCACCCAGTTCATTTTCCCATTTTTGACCCCTTGGCCTGACTACTTGAAGACTCAGTTTAGATAACATTCTATCTGTGAAGCTTTCCCTGTCCAAATAGCTGGCTTAGGTGTCTCTTCTATATTCCAATTTAGCATTCTGCTCTTACTGCTGTCATGATACTTAAAATAAGAAACTATATCTCCTTGTTACTTTCTGTCTTCCCCCCACAGCTATGCTACTTGGAACCCAGAACTATTTCTTTGAATTATTGTTTACTTAGTACCTCAGTTAGTATCCAGTGCATTGTGGCCTTGAGTGGAATGTGGTTGTCTTCACTGTCTAAGTGGTAGCAGTGTACAGAGTGGTTAACTCCAAATGGGATAAGAAATTGCTTATAGTTGAGTTTAGGAAATCTCAAATAAAGAAGATTGGGTAAAAGAAATCACATGAAAGTTTAGGCATGCCCATTTGACTCCTACAGAAGGTTGGTAGAGTTGTGAATGAAGTTTGAACAGAAAAAGAAAAAACATAGTATATGTAGGGTTTGGTACTCCCTGCAATTTTAGGCATTCACTGGGCATTTTTTTCTTTCTCCTTTCTTTGTAATAGGGATTGAACCCAGGGACACTTTACAACTGAGCTATAGCCCCAGTTCCTTTTTATTTTGAGACAGGATCTTACTTGCTGAGGCTGCCCTCAAACTTGTCCTCCTGCCTCAGCATCCCAAGTCACTGGGATTATAGGCCTGCACCACTGTACCTAGCTTCTCTGGGGATCTTGAAATGTATCCCCCTGTAGATGGGGGCAGGGACATGGACTACTGTACTTTTTGACAGTCTTAGCTCAACTCTGTTTACATATTGGTCTTTTGTGTTACAGATTAAGAAATATCCTCTCAGTGGTTGGTACTGATGCCTTAAAAAAGACAAAAAAAGATGATGAGAAATCTAAGAAATCCAAAGAAGAGGTAAAATACGTTTTTGGTTTGACAGTATAAACATCAAGAAAATGAAATATTTGTGTCATTTTCTCTTCTCAGTGGATTGCTTTGTCAGGATAAGGGGAGAAAAGGCTTGGAGGGTTCTTCCATTCAGAAACAGTTTCTGGCGATTGTTTGTGATTCTTATGTGAATATCAAAGGATCTAAGTGAGTTTTCTATTCAGGAAAGAACTAATAGCATTCTTGGTGAACTTACTTAGAAACCAGAGCCATCTAATAAGACATGGAAATACAGTAGAAAGCACATATGCCTGACTTCAGGGCAGGTATGCTTCAGACTTAACATTTCTGCTCTTTATTTGCCTTTCAGTATCAGCAAACCTGGTACCATGAAGGACCAAATAGCCTGAAGGTGGCCAGGCTGTGGATTGCTAATTATTCACTGCCCAGGTAAACAGAGCCTCTAGAAGAAGAAAGAAGCATATTTTTTCTTGTTTACTCTGAGAGAATGAGGATCCACTCTATGATGATAGTGGTTATTAAATGAAGCTTAAGAACCCTTGTTGACAGCCTTTTTGTTCCTGGTAGCAGTGTTGTTTCTGTGTCCCAGGGCAATGAAACGCTTGGAAGAGGCCCGTCTCCATAAAGAGATTCCTGAAACAACTAGGACATCCCAGATGCAAGAGCTGCACAAATCTCTCCGGGTAAGGTGTTTGCAATGATTGATATCTTCTATTACTAGATTTTTTACTTTGAACCATCTCAAGGAAAGTAAAGGTAACTACCATGAATATTCCTTTCTGCTGGATCTGCTATGACATGCAAGGCACTGTTAGTTAAGGTGGCAGGAACCTACTGTGCTTTGTACACACAGAGGCCACTGGTTCTATTTTTGACTGCTCCATTTTAATTTGTTGCAGCTGTGCTTCAGACTGCTATATGGTCTTCTATTGATATTTGCTGACATGGAAGTTAGTATTACCAGGCTAGAATATAGCTGGAGCTTCAAATAAGCCTGATTCCATTCACCAATACAAGTGTTTTCTAATAATAACAGTGAAAGTATAAAATCTTGGGGTGGGTTAAAACTGAAAGATTGCCCCTTTTTTTATGGCAGAAAAGCCAAGGAACTCTTGGATTACCCTATTAATGTCATCATTTGTCTTCTTTTTTTAAGTCTCTGAATAACTTCTGCAGTCAGATTGGGGACGATCGGCCTATCTCCTACTGTCACTTTAGTCCTGATTCCAAAATGCTGGCCACAGCTTGTTGGTAAGTTTTATTTTACAGTTGACATTTTCCTAAATGGGGATAGGTCCAGAAAAAAATAAGCATTTGTCATAGCTGTCTAGTTCTACTTCCTCAGTTTCTCATGATCACACCATACTACAGATGCAATATAGTCTTTGTTTCACCAGGGCCCCAGAGAACCATAATATGTAGCAGACTGTCATTTCTTGACACTGGCATTTTTGAGCAGGTCATATGGATTATAGACCAAGTAGTGTTCACTCCTCAGTTTAGATAGCTATTTTTTGTTATTGTTTTTTGTTTTAATTCTGTTACCTACCTAAGATACATAATCCCTGTAAGATTCAGTGTCCTTATATATAAAAGTGAAGTGAGGTAGCATTTGTAAATCATTTTGCCTTGATAATGCCTGATATATGGTAAGAACTCAGTAAGTCTTAATTTAACTTTATTTTCTACTTAACACGTATGCAAAAACTCTTGGGATGTAATAACTTGGTTTGTTTTTTGGTTTGTTTCGTTGGTTTTTTTGCAGTGCTGGGAATTGAGCCCAGGGTCTTGCACATACTAGGCAAGTGCCCTACCACTGAGCTATACCATCAGCCCTGTTTTGCTTTGTTTTTGCTTATTTTGCAGACTATGGTGTCTAGTAGAGAGGAAGCTTATACTGAATGCATAGGAATTATGCAACTAGGCAGAAATTGAGACTGTGCTCCAGGAGAAAGCCGAAGAACTATACAGATCACCTCTCCAAGCCTCAGTTACCTTAACTCTACTTTATTGTGATTTAAGAAAATGTTTTGTTCTTTTTGAAGTTCTAGAGATCAAACCCAGGACCTCACGTTTGCTAGGCAAATGCCCTACCATTGAGCTACATCCCTAACCCAGTTTCCTTAACCATAAAGCATAAATGGAAATCCTGCCGTATCCTTGGAGATAGTAGATACGAAAGTAATTCTTAGAAAATTTCCAAAATAAGTTTTTTTTTTTAATTTAGATACTTTGTAGATGATGAAATGCTATTCAATTTAAAATAGGACATGATGGTTTCATTTGTTCTGCCTTCCTCATAAATTGATCCAGAAATTAAGGTGAATAGCAGCAATGCTGTTCAGTAGGATAGCAGTAGGGTCCAGTAAAAGCCCCTGGTTGTCTGAGACCTGGTTGTATCTCTTCTTCTATAGCCCTTCAATTTATTAGTCTTTTATTATTTATTTATTTTCTGTCTGCCACTGTAAAGTGTATAGGGGGTGAGAAGAGATTGTCCTTTAGTAATGTTACCAAGGTACCTTTTCCTTCCCAGACCAACCCTGGCTGAGATGCTTTCCTTTGTATTTGATAGGAGTGGGCTTTGCAAGCTCTGGTCTGTTCCTGATTGCAACCTCCTTCACACACTTAGAGGTAAGTTAGAGTCTTGTTTAGATCTGTTTTATCCCCACCGTGACCTCTTATAAGTAGTAAAACTCTGCCTCACACTCAAACCCAGTACACACAGCATCGATTCCTGATTTCATTTGATGTTGTTTAGTTTCTCAGACTCCAAAGCCAGAATGTAATGACTTCTTACCATACAACCTTTTTCTCATATCCACCCACACTCAGGCATTTTATAATGTCTGAACTAATAAACACAAACCTTTAATGTTTTACTTTTTTCTAATCTAGCTTAAATATTAGTTTAAGTCTTTTTTTTTTTCTTTTTAAATGTTGAATTAGTCACTTTATTTATTTACACTAAGGGGTAGTATGTACTGGAGATTGAACACAGAGCACTTTACCACTGAGCTACATCCCCAACTCTTTTTATTTTTTAAGACAGGGTCTCACTGAGTTCCTTGGGGGCCTCACTAAGTTACTGAGGCTGGCCTCAAACTTGCAATCCTCTTGCCTCAGCTTCGGATTATAGGCATGTGCCTGGATAAATAGTCACTTTAATACTTTACATGTCCACACATATTCTCTGATATATTTTTATCTGTATTGTTCATCGCAATATATATTTTGCTGTAGGTTATAAAGAAGTGAGAACCCTTTAACTTTCTTTTTTTTTAAGGCCATAACACAAATGTAGGCGCAATTGTATTCCATCCCAAGTCTACAATCTCATTGGACCAAAAAGATGTCAACCTGGCCTCTTGTGCTGCTGATGGTTCTGTGAAACTTTGGAGTCTTGACAGGTGAGTATTACTGTGCCACAATTGCTACCTCCATCTTAAAGTACATAAGTAATTGGTTGGCTCTCAGCAACTCAGGGTTAAAAAATCTGATATTTGACCCCAGCAATAAACTAGGAGTTAAGGTAAATTAGTGTGAAAATAGAGTGGGAGGTTTCTTTTTTAGACTTCTTTCACCAGAGGAGTTGTGCCAGGTTTTTCTGGTTAACTTTGAACCTCAATTTGTGCCTCCAGCATAGTGGCACTGTTTCCAGCTGCAGATATTTTGGAAAGATCCAGCCTACCTCCTACACAGTGGGTTAGCACTAGAGAAATGCGTGGTTTGGTAGATGGACTGAGGATAACAATCTTGGTAGCCTGTTCGTTGTTAGCTCACAGCCACGGGGGAAAGGAAAGTGAGGTTCTGTCTGGCAGCACTGACAAGAAGGTGGTGTCATCTCCCACTGGCTCCGTCTCTGACCTAGGATATATTTATCAACTACAACAGGTTTTTGGTTTTTATTTAATTATTTTTGCTATCCCCCCCAAAAAAAAATTGTGGATGTACCCTGTTGGTTTAAGACATCTGAATTCAATTACTTAGTTTTCTTTCTTTGGGAAAGCACAGAAAGGTTTTGATTCCAACATTTTTTAAAGAGCTAATTAGTGTCTGTTCTGCCAAATAGGGTCTCATCTACAAGCCAGCAAGTTTTAATTGGCTTTGGTAATACTTAGCAATGTTTATTCCCCTGGGGCTCTGGTTAGTTCTTTGTATGCACATTGACAAAGTTCCCTTTTTAATTGCCCTCTTTAGAGTTCATGTTTATTTCCTTCACCTGTGTTTGATCTTTCTCTGGATACTGGGTAGCAGAATTTCATGACCATCAAAAGGAGGCCAAGCCTCTGTCTACTCAGGATTTCCTTTTTCCATTTGGATTCTTGAATAGACTAAGATTTGAGAAAGATTTATCTGTAGCCCAGTTGTACTAAAAGAGTTTGATTTCTAAGTATGATTTGAAAGTTTTCTTTTCAAAATCCAAGTACTACTTTGGTGCAAAGTGACTGCTTACTAGGCAGAAGTGTCTCACTTTTCTCTAATACTAAATTATATGGTGTTGAGGGTTTAGTAATAGATAATTGAGGTGGTAGTCAGCTGGCCTTATGGGCACATGAAATAGTCCCAAATCTTTTAAAACCTTGGGAAGGAGCTTAATTATTGTTAACCCTAATATTTTAACAAATTGTAAGCATAGTTACAACTTAGCCACTTGAAATGTACAGAATGGGTATATCTTCACAACAATAAATAAATCCAATAAATATTTACATGACTATAAAGTGGTTTACTTGTCTATGTTTGGTTCCTTTTCAGTGATGAACCAGTGGCAGATATTGAAGGCCACACAGTACGTGTGGCCCGAGTGATGTGGCATCCATCAGGACGTTTCCTGGGCACTACCTGGTAAGCCATCTCATTATTTTCCCATTCATACATGCTTGTGGCATTTTGTTAATTTTTTTTCGTTGTCTGCCAAGTAAATTTTTAGAGCAAAGATTTCTAGTAGAATTTTTGTGAATTGCTCAGAATCAGAGAAAAGAATATGATATAGTGAGGACTAAGTGTATTTGCTTTTAAATTGTAATGAATTACTTAAATATGGGTTTTTACTATACATTGTATTAAAATCTCTCTGGCAACTAATCAGTTTCTCTTTCTGGTTCTGTATCAGTGAGGCTAGAATCTGGTGGTGAACTTTTTCTTTGAGGTATAAATTAACATCCGGTGAGATGAGTTTAAGTTTATAGTTCAGTCTTGACAATTGCCTACCATCTGTGTGACCCACACCCCTGTCAATATAGAGAAAGTTCTCTCAAGCCCCTTCCTACTCAGTTCCCCTCTCCAAAACAACTACTCATCTGATTTCTGTCTTTATAAGTGAATCACCTCTATTCAGACTGTCTGAGCTCATTTGTGTCTGGTTTCTTTTTACCCAGTGAAACATTTTTAAGATCCAATCATGTAGCAGGTGTCAGTAGTTCCTTTTTATTGCTGAGCAGTGGTGTATTGTGTGCATGCGCCACAGTTGGTACTGTGATAGACACTCGGTCTTGTTGATCAGTCAGAATAAAGCTGCCCTAAATATTCTTATACCAGGCTTTTTGCAGACATGCTTTTTTTTTTCCTTTCTCTTGAGTAAATTCCTAGAAGTACAATTGATAGTTCAGAGGATAAAACTCTTAAACTTCTAAGTAGTGTTTCAAAGTGGTTATACCATTTTACATTCCCAGAATTCTGGTTGCTTCATATCCTTACCAACATTTGGTGTTGTCAATCTTACCAGTTTGTCTAAGGTAGCCATTGTGTAGTGATATCTTAAATTCTAATTCTTATTACCCTAATGACAGTTGGTATTGAATACTTTGTCATATGTTTACCATTTGTTTGCATATCTTCTTTTGTGCAATGTTTAGTTAAAGATTTGTCTTTTTTTTTTTTTTTTTCTTTTTTTAGTTGTAGATGAACACAATATCTTTATTTTCTTTATTTTTATTTGGTACTAAGGATCGAACCCAGTGCCATGCTCTACCACTGAAACACAACCCCAGCCCCACTTAGTCCTTTTTTAAATTGAATTTGTCTTTTTTTTGGTCTTTTTCCACATGCTTAGCCAGTTCTACCACAACTATTGAAGAGACTTTCCTTTCTCTGTTGAAATTGCTTTGGCACCTTTGTTGAAAACATTTGACTAGATATATGTGGGTGTGTTTCTGTACTTTGTTCTATTCCAGTCTTGTTTTTGTATGCCCAGCATCCAATATAGGGCCCTGTAAATATACAAAGTTCAACAAATAATGAGACATAATGACAAAATGAAAGGAGAATATAGGCAAGAGAATCTTTGCTGAGCCATTCTTAGGGAATTCTGTTCTTAAAATAGTTAACTAGAGTAGATTTACAGCAAGTTCAAGGTTTCCCTGTTAGTGCCTAAGACAGGTGTTCTTAGCTGTTGAAGCATTATTTGTTCCAGAAAGGAAGTTCTTACTCACATGGTTGAAAGAACAGTTTTGGAACCATTAAGTTAAGCCACAGATACGATAGTAATTTGCACATTGTGGAAACCAAATCAACCTGCTGGTTGATTGCTAGTGTAATTCTTCCTTTTCTTAGCTATGACCGTTCATGGCGCTTATGGGATTTGGAAGCTCAAGAAGAGATCCTGCATCAGGAAGGCCACAGCATGGGTGTGTATGACATTGCCTTCCATCAAGATGGCTCTTTGGCTGGCACTGGGTAAGGCTTCTTTCACAAAGCCGGGGCAGCTCAGTAGTGTCACCTCTTAAATGTGCCTGCTTCCCCATAGAACTGGATTCAAAGTGTTTATTTATATATTATTTTGTCAGGGGACTGGATGCATTTGGTCGTGTTTGGGACCTACGCACAGGACGTTGTATCATGTTCCTAGAAGGCCACCTGAAGGAAATCTATGGAATAAATTTCTCCCCCAATGGGTAAAATAAGCTCATTGAGTGAGAGGTGGAGAGGGTGCTTGGTCAGTCACTACTCTGTTTTCTAACTTTCATACTACATCTGATCCACAGCTACCACATTGCAACTGGCAGTGGTGACAACACTTGCAAAGTGTGGGACCTCCGACAACGACGTTGCGTGTATACCATCCCTGCCCATCAGAATTTAGTGACTGGAGTCAAATTTGAACGTAAGCCTCCCTCCTGTTTTAGGCGTAAACACTACACAAGTTCTGCACATCAGTGGAGTGCAATCCAGGCTGAAGCTTAACTTAGAAGTAGAACAGGGGAAAATTTGACCTCTGTTAGAGGAGCAAGTTACAATTTCCTTCCTCTGCTGTACCCCTGGGCAGAGCTATGGCAGAGCGTGAAAGTGGGGCTGGAGTTGTGGCTCAGCAGTAGAGCACTTGCCTAGCATGTGTGAGGCACTGGGTTCCAGCCTCAGCACCACATAGAAGTAAATAAGTGTATCCATCTTCAACTAAAAAATAAAAGCACTTAAAAATTAAAAAAAAAAACAAACCATGAGAGTAAAGACTTGTGAATGCTTTGCTTCATTCTTTTCTCCATGGACATTCTAAGGATATTCTGAAAAGTAATATTAATCTTGTCTACCAAGGAAAGAGCTAGATTCTTTTGTCACTTCTCAGTCTGCCTGTGGTTGTCCCTTTTTCCTGGAGGCCTCCTAAGAATATAGAACCAGGCCTGGCGTGGTGGTGCATGCCTGTAATCCCAGCAGCTCAGGGGGCTGAGCAGGAGGATCACCAGTTCAAAGCCAGCTGCAGCAAAAGCAAAGTGCTAAGCAACTCAGTGGACCCTGTGTCTAAATAAAATACAGAACAGGGCTGAGGATGTGGCTCAGTGTTTAAGTGCCCCTGTGTTCAATCCCCTTTACCAAAAAAAAAAAAAAAAAAAAACATAGAATCAATATGTTGAGTTTTTAGTTTTTCTAGGTATAGAAATGCCTTCTTTTTCAAAATAGTATGTTTGGGCAGGTTTTTGTTTTTTTGAGTGTGTGGTTTTTGGTTTTTTGTTTGTTTGGGTTTTTTTGGTAAGCTCTTGAATATTTGATGAATTCTCAGGCACATTCCTTTCTTTTCTCCAATAGCTATCCATGGGAACTTCTTGCTCACTGGTGCCTATGATAACACAGCCAAGATCTGGACCCACCCAGGCTGGTCCCCATTGAAGACTTTGGCTGGCCATGAAGGCAAAGTGATGGGTCTAGACATTTCTTCTGATGGACAGCTTATAGCCACCTGCTCATATGACAGGACCTTTAAGCTCTGGATGGCTGAATAGACAAGACCGTGGAAGAAGGACTCTAACCCCAATCTCTCCCTTAGGAGCCATTTTCCTTAAAAGAAAAGAATTGATGTGTTTTGTTCTATCATGTTTTCTGCCAATTACCATGTATAGACCCTCAGTAGATTTGGATTTTCACGTCAGCCTACTCCGAAGAGGCAGCCCAGTCCTTAGGTGATGGTGAACTCCTTTCGTGGTTGAAAATGAAATTCTCATCTTCAGGCCCATCCATGAACCTCCTAGACATTTTTTATTGGTCTTTCTTTGAATGCTCTCAGCACTCAGGATTGTGACTACTCTCTGCATTTTTAATTCTTGAAACTTGGCTTCCCATGACATGGTATGTGCTTCAGGGCTGCATGTGATCCAGTGAGCAAGGTAGCTGGACTATATTCTGAAAGTCCTTGAGGAAAGAGACACATCTCACCACATATTGGTTGAACAATGTCTCACGGCAAGTCCCTGGAGTGGACAGCAGTTATGCTGATGTTTATACACTGAAGCTTTGACCCCTTCCTGTGAAGTTCACTTGGAATGCTAACTGCATCAGGAAACTCAGAACTGAACACTCACCTCATCAGAAAATGCCTTCCATCTTGCTTTGAAGCTTAACATCCTTCATACTACCCTAAAGCAAGGCCACTATGTCAGGATTCAAAGAAATTTGTAGAAAGCAAACATGATGTCTCTCTTGTACACTCTCCTTGCTATGGTTATTTAAAGGATGTACTTTGTGTATTAAAAGGTACTTCATGTCGAAGTAACTGGAAAAAAATCCCTAATAGGCATTACTAAACATAAACCTTTTTCTCTTTATTACCCACTTGCTAGGAGTAAAATCCTATCATAAAAACTATCCTTTAAAAATTGTTTTCTATAGTTAAGCATTTTCTGAACCCTAGTCATTTGTCCAAGGAGTATCTTTTTTTTTGGTTTGGGTTATAACATTTCAGATATGAATTAGCACAATTTCTCCTTAATCAGCACTCTTAGTTTTGTTAATAGGGGACTGTTGGCCTTATCACCAGTAAACTGTGCGTGGGCTCCATAATTCTTACTAGTTGGGCATGTAGTGATTGCCTTCACCTTCTTACCGCAGGAATATATTTTCTGGCCTCTGAAATTAGTAAATTCACATAAAAAGAGGAATTTGGAAGAAAAGCATAATAAGGAAGAATTAAATAAGGGCTAATATAATGGTTTCTCCATTAATGTTCAAAATCCTTTCATTGGCCCATCCAGAGAGGTTGAGAGTGGCTTTGGCTCTATCCTGCAAATTATGAATATGTGATATGTAGCTAAACATGCTGTTTTTAATCTGATTTCATTTATAACCAAATCGATGCATATCCTGTTCAGTTGTTAAGCCTCTGAATTCTTGGGTCTGTCCTCACGGCCCTAAATTGTTGTTTAATAGTTCTGTTTTCTTTGTAGTTTGCCATGAAAAAAACTTTCCATCACCATTTTTGTAAAATGATGAACATGAGTGTACCCCATGCAGCTTGGGCATGGCGCACTAACAGTGGTTTGCAGTTTCTCAGGTGTAAATCTTATTATTCCCTTGGACTCGCCTGTTTGTTTGCTTTTTGGTGGTGGTTCATGAGGTGGTGGTTGGGTTAAAAATATTTCATCTAAGCCTTTAATGGAACAAATATCTGGTAGAATATCCATTTCTTCAAACACCATTATAGAAAGTAATAGAGAAACACAAAGCCAGGAGTGGCATTTCATGATTATTCTGAGCTGAACATCATGGCCACCACAGAGCAGAACATTTACTCCCTACCTCATCAGTGTGCCAGCACATTCAGACATCTCCGTAGTCCTCATGACCATATGAATTTCTTATTCCCTTTTTATAGGCAAAACTGCAGCTCCAAGAAGTGACTCACCAAAGTTATCCAGCTAGTAAGTTATAAAACCTGAATCTGAACCTTAATCTGTCTGACCATTTCATCTTATAAAGATTCCACAGGCTTTCTTGAGTAGGTTGGCCACACTGGCTACAAGTCCGGTGCAGCCAGCATTACCTTTTTCTTCTGTGGATCATCTTTTTAACTCCACCTTGTGTACTGCCCTGTTCACAAGTGACTTAATCTCTGACTTCACACCATATGGAGTCAGTTTTCCCACTTCTATCTCATGAACTTCACAGGAGCCTGTTGGGTACTGCTCAACAGGATAACTGTTTGCGTTTTGAAATAGATCTTTCCTTGCATAGAACCATCATAAGAAACAGCAGGTCTCAGTGTCCTTCTCTGCACTAAATTGCAGAAGCACAGCCCGCCCCCTTCATTGCATACCAAAGGTGCTCCCACAATGTTTCCAAATGCCTCCCTGAGAAGACAGGACTACCCCAAGGTTAGAGCTACTGAATGTGAAACTAGAAGACACTATAATATTAGGTATATCCTTCCCTACCCAAAATAACCCAAAATTAGGTCTTATTTGGTGGTGTATCTACCACTCCAAGAATATAAGTTCTATTTTGAGTGGCCTTGAACAAGGTAGCCAAAAATGGCACAGTCTTGGTTTTAGGGGATGACAATTAGACCCATAAGCCCTAGTGAATAGGCAGATGCTCCTCCCTGGCTCTTCCCAGCTCCTCTCTCTGTCCCCTGCCCTGAGCCACTTTGGCCCACCCATCTTGGAAAATATGGTGAGATCATTGCCTAACTTACCTGCTGCAAAGTTAAGGAGCAAAGATGAGTAGAGAAATGAATTCAACTGGGAGAGGTGCAGTCCCAGCCTCAGTATAATTATCTCTGAAGGGCACCAATGGAGAGGAGGTTGCTAGTCCCTGGCGGGTTACGTAGGCAGTTTTCCAGTTTGGTAATGGAGAATTTTTCTACAAATTGGAGCTGAAAACTGTTGTTTTTACTAAAAATATATTTCTTGGCTCTTTTGGAATACCTTGTACATTAAGACCCTTAACAAGGATTTATAGAGGATACTTCCATTAAACTGAACATGATTTAGACCAAATAAAACTGACTCAAGTTCTGACAGTTTATTTCACCAATTAAAAGAAACTCAAAATGTCAACTTTTTGTAATTGTGATGGTGTGTTAACCACTTTGGGATTGTTTCAGAGCTCTGGGCCACCAGGCAAACTAAAACTAGAAAAGTAGAAATGAGGGTTTTAGACACTGCAAGGCATCAGCTCTAGCTTCAAATTCTAGCTCCTGGGTTCTTGGTTTCTTCATGTAAGAAATAGGTCCCCCACAGCAGGCCTGGGATGGGAATAAAGTTTTGCCTCTGTCCCGGGCTGCATCCTACCTTCTGAGGCCAGAATCCCAGTACTTTCAGGAGGGAGTCAGAGCTGTACCCCTGCACCATCTAATCAGACCTCTGCACCCACAGAGAGAATAAAAGCCTGTAAACCCATATTTATTTACTTATTTATGGTGCTGGGGATTGAATCCAGGGCCTTGCAAATTCTAGGTAAGTGCTTTCCCACTGAGCAACATCTACAGCCCCAAATCCCAGATTCTTTTTCTTTTCTTTTTAAGAATATTTTAAATGTATTTATTTATTAGTTGTAGATGGACACAATACCTTAATTTATTTTTATGTGGTGCTGAGGATCAAACCCAGTGCCTCACACATGCTAGGCAAATGCTCTACTACTGAACTACAACTCCAGCCCAAATCCCAGATTCCTAATCCACTGATCTTGGCTTCTTCACCTTTAGACTCTTATCTCCCAACACTCCATGAACTGCACGCTGACAAGAGGTTGTCCTGTGTAAGAAGCAGCTGACAGTGCGTCTTCCCTGCTGCTGGAGGCCATCAGCCACCAGTGGGTAATCTTACACTTTTCTTCCCTTCTGCACTCAGTACCTGCCCAATTAATGGTTGTAGAATGAATAAATGAAGGAATTAAGGAATGCAGACCGTTTTTTACTGGGACTGGTGGAAAGACATCCAAGGAGAAAGCTGAAAAGGGGAGACAAGCACATTTTCTCACAGAATTCAAACTTACTTTCCAAACATTTTAGCAACACATAATGAAAAGAGCAAATAAAATAAAAACATGAACTGAGTCCAAAACAGCTCCAGGGAGAGCTACGGCTTGCTATTTGGATTAGTCAGGTCGCTGGATACCATTGTCCAGCCCTTTGGCACAACTTGCTATGTGGCTCTATAGCCATACAACCCCTGGTTCACACTCAGAGCTCTTCATGCCTCCTAGCCCTTCGCTTCATCCCCCAACCCCGCCCACGTGCACCCACGATAGGGCCTTCTCTGCTCCCAGAAGCAAACAGGGCCTAACCGATCTCTGGATCATAAAATACTACAAAGGAAGACAACACCAAATAAGGCTCTGCATCCCCAGCCCCAGCAGCCACTGAGAAAGGCCTGGTTCCTCCTCCAGAAACAGAGTGCTCAGCCCACGCCCCAAAGGAACTGCTTGGTCCAAAAGATGGAAAAGATGAGCAGCAGAGTGACACTGAGGATGACAGCCATCAAGTAGGCAAAGATGCGGAATTGAGGGTGGCGGAAACACTCCCTCAGAGAATAGTGGCTGGGGATGGGGATGGGCATAGGCCTGGTGGCTGGGGCAGTGTCCTGGGAAGGTGCAGTCTGGTTCCCAGACTCGACGCCTAGGTCCAGTGTGTAGACCCGAGGCTGGCGCAGGAAGTAGCGGCTCTTAGGCTGGTCCTTGAGACAGAGCTGCCGACCCTCCAGGATGACGTGGTGGGGCTCCAGGCGGAGCAGGCTTAGCATGGCAGTGTCCGTGGGCAAGTCAGTGACTGGCTGCCCTGAGGCCAGCACGGTGGGCTGGCGACAGAGCGGGCATAGCAAGCGGCGCCGGGCCGGAGTCACCAGGCTGAGGTGGGCCAGGCATTCCACACAGAAGGAGTGGCAGCAGTCCAGCACTTTGGGGGTATGGAACGTGTTGTTGAAGGGGTTCCAGCAGACAGGACACTCAGCCTCTAGCTCCCGGCCCTGGGGCTCGGTCATCCTCAGACCACACTGGGAGGCCTCACAGGGGATGTCCTGGCAGGAAAAAGGAGCAAAGGTACACCCATGAAGCTCTGTCCCTGAGCTTGGTCTGAGGCTCAGAGTTCTGTGGCGTTCTGTTCAGTCCCATTTTACAGAAGCAGCTTAGGTTCAAAAGCGTTTTCTTCCAGAGCACCTTGTTTCTAAGCCATTCCACTAAGTCTATGTACACAGCTTCCCCTGCATCAGGGTGAAGGCCTGAGTCACCACCACCCCAACCAACAGCACCAGATGAACTGGCAGTGGAGGGAACTGCACCCTGGCTTTGTGGATGGCTTTGGAAATGTTCCTTGTGGTCACCGTGTTGGCCCTTGACTGCCCCGAAGTCAGAAGAGGGTGAACCATGGTTGGGGTTTTGCTAGAGGACAGACCCTCCCTTCCCTTAAATCTCTGACCAGGGCGAGATGGTCTTTGTCAATTCCCTGTCTGTCCTTCTGTGGGAGCAAATGCCAGGCCTGCTTTCCTCCTCCGCCTGGTCTAGAGGGCCAACCCTCCAGAGCTGCCTGGCCCGCTCCTCGGCCTGATGAAGAGGCCCCTGGGAAAGCTTTTCCCCTTCATCTGGGACCTATCGCTCAGGCCCCCAGATCAGCCCTCACAGAGCCTCTCCCTGGCACTCGGTGTCTCTTGGATCCCCCACCCTGCTTTGTCCAGGGAAACCATCAAGACACCCACCTGGGCTTGTGCGGACTGCAGCGGGATCAGGCAGAATACTCACAAGTGCCTAAGGTTCTAGTCTCTCCCTCTCCTGAATCCACAAAGCTTTGGGAAACTGCCTTCTCACCACCAAGCCGTCTCCATGGCAGCAAGATCACAGCACCTGGAGCTGCCAGGTGGCCCAGGCTGCAGCCTGTTGAGCGCACCTGCCTGGTGCCAAGGCCAGAGAGCTGCTAGGTGGCGGCTGGGAGGTTGGGGACCGAGTTTCCCACACACACACCTGGGGCGTGGCAGCCAATTGAACTTGGAAGCCAAGTATCTGCGTGATTGTGGGCGGTTCTTTCCAGACCTGAGGTCCCTGGCCTGGAAAGGCAGGGGTGGCGATTTCCTTTCTGGATCATGGAAAGGGTAAGTGAGTCGTCCGGGCTTCCTCTTCCCTCATTTCTTTTCTCAAATGGCTGGAATCTCTTCCTCGCACAAAAGGGCTGCCTGCCCTGTGCTTCTATTGCTGCAAAATTCACCTGGTTCACGGTCTAAAACTCTGCACGCCAGCCTCCTCCGGCCCCCTTGTCCTCTCCTGATCTCTTACCGTACCCACACAGCCGGCAAACCCTGCTGCCTTCTGCTTTGTTCTTAGAACACAGCCAGCCAGCTGAGATCTTCGAATCCCACAGCTGGCCATCCTGCCAGCCTTGGGGACTTAAGGAGAGCAGTCAGAAGGGAGCAGCCCCAGCCCTGCTTCCTTTTTCAAATCGAAATGATTGGCTTGTTATCTATTTCTCATCTTGGTCCTTTCAATTATTTAAATAGCTGAGTTTTTTGGTGGGGGAAGGTTTAAAAACCACTTCTCCTTCCTAACCACTCACTTTGCAGATGGAGATAAGTAACTCACCCCAAGCCACCTAGCTGGTTCTGGTGACACTGGGACCCGAGTCTTTGGATTCCAAGTCCACCACCATGCTGCTGTCACAAAAACAGAACAGTATCCACTTAGCACACAAGCCGGGTGTGTGCTGTTGGCTAGGCAGAAATGCTCTCCTTTTACTGGTTCTTTACAGCCATAAGACTCTAATGGTAAGAACCTGGGAACTATGCAAGGGGAGCTTTGGGGGCTGTGAGTCCCTTGGACCCCTGATATAGCCTCATCTCCCCTGACTGACCGGACACCTGGAGCAGAACCTACTTACTCTCTCACCCATGGCGTCCTGGTTTTCTTCTAGAAACTCGGTCACTGCACCACACAGGGAAGAAGGAAATGAGGATAAGCAAGATAAGATGGCTCAGCCCTAACAGAAGCACTTGACCAAAGGTCTATACCAGTGCTTTATTCAGTGTACCATTCATTCATTCATAGTTATTGAGTGCTTACTGTATGCCAGGCGCTGTGCAAGGCATTGCATCAGTGGGCAAAATCAACCCATCTCCGACCTCATGGCACTTGGAGCTAGTGAGGCAAGGAGATGTGTAATGAGTGATGAGCAATGAAGAAGTGCAGACGGAGAAGGGCAGGAGGTGGGGCTTGAAGCTCAGGAAGCATCTGAATTTCTTTCGGGGAGGTGGCCTGATCTGTGATACTATTTCCATGTTTCAAATAGCATCCCAGCTTCAGAGCAGAGGACAGACTGAGAGGGACAAGACTGGAAATGGAAGGCCAGTTAGGTGACGGTGATGTGTGACATTAGTGAGCTGAGGGTGGAGAGGACCCAAGGGGACGACATTAATGATGTCTTTGGAGACAGAATCAACCAACTTCCCAGAACCAGATGTAGATCCTGGAGCCAAGCTGTGAAGCTCACGAACCCAGGTCTGCTGCTTATGAGGACGGAAATTCCAGCTGGTGCTGCATCCCGCAGGCCTCAATTTTCTCTTGTGAAAAGAAAGCTAGGAGGAGTGAGACTTTTAGGTAGGCCCAGTGCCCAGTTAAGGACTGTGTAAGAGGTGGTTGGCCTTATTTCCGCAAACCGCTTAGAGAGAGAGGAAGGGTTACAGTTGACTTCAAAGCCATGAGAACATTTTCTCCACTGATCTTTGAGGAGCCCCTGAATTCCTGCCTCACAAACAGAACTTCAGTCATTATCAAAAACCTTAAAGTGTTCATAGCCTTGACTCAGAACTGGAAATCTATTCCATGGAATTAATCAAGGGCCTGTGCAAAGATTTGATTACAGAGATGCCCAAGGCCTTGAGCAGTGGTGAGATACAGATAATCACCTCGTTATCCAATACTGGGAGGCTGATGAGGTGAATTCTGCTCTATCTGTGGAAGAGACATTCTGCAGCCTTGGAAATGATGTGATAGAACATTTATTATTATGGAACTATATCCATGATGTAATGTGAAAAAGAACCAGCTATAAAACCACATTACAACACAATCCTGTTTTCAAAGAAAACTGTCTGGAAAGATAAGCAACCAAATATCAACAGTTGCTATCTCTGGGGCAAGACTATAAATTGTGTTTTATTTTAAAAATTCTCTTACCTGAAAATTTGAACTTTATTCCAGATAAGCTTGTCTCACTGTTCTTAAAAATCTCTCCCCTTTGCCCCCAGATCAGAGCTACACTTTCTGAGGACCCACGGCCAAAGCCGTGGAGGACTGAGGAGGAGGAGGACAGTGACTATAGCCTGGCCCTTATCAGTGAGGCACTCGCTGTGCTTCCGAGGTCAGCTGGTCAGAGGCCAGTGTCTCCAGGAGACATTGTGCCATGTATCACCCATCACCCCCAGACCAGGGCAGCTCAGGGACAGTGAGTCCTAAACACCACCCTAAAGTCATCTCCCCACCTGTGCACGAGTCATTACCAAATCTTAACTGTCTGCAGTGGCCCCCATTGTTTCCAACACCAACATGACAGAGATAAGGAACTGGCAGAAGAACTGTGTGGCAACACCACTAGATAATATCATCACCTTTTACCGCTTGTTTCTATTTGCAAAAGGCCGTTTGATTCTCTAAAACTACCCTATGAAGGAGGCAGAATGGGAGTAAAGAGCAGGCAGCCTTCGAAACCAGACCCTTGCTGATCCTGAATGGCTTAACCTCTGCACTTCATGTTCTTCTGTTAAAGAGGCCAATGACCCCACCTTGCAGCCTGTGAGTGCCCAGCACAACTCAGCAGGAGTTCAGTACAGAGTTAGCTTGACCATTTTTACACCCATTTGACAGATGGGGAAGCCAAGGCACAAGATGGTGGAGGTACTTGTCCAAGGCTTCAGAGCTAAAAACTGTTGAAGGATGAGCCCCGGAGCCTGCATCCCAGGCCAGAGCCCACCATGAGGCAGTGCTGTCTCCAGACTCCAGGCCCTGTGACCCCATGTCTCCATGACCCCCCCTGGCTCCCTTACCCTTACCTGCTCCCTTGGAGCCCCTTCTCCTTCCTGAGTGCCACCCTGCAAGCATGTGCTCTGCTCTGAGACTTCTGCCTCCAGCCTGCCTGGGGCGGGTCTCATTTGCACGGATCTCAGCAGCATGTCTGGCTCTCTCTGCTGCAGGCTTCCCTCTGATGACTTTGGACTGTCTGTGTGTACAGGGGGCACCTGGGAGCTTCGGTCTCTTCATCCCCCACCCCCACCCCGTGAGTCACTCTCGATCTGTCTCTGAGGGGGTGGAAGTCCACTCACCCTCGCAGGCCTCTGTTCTGTGTGGGGCTCGTCTTCTTCTTCCACTGTCCTAGACCGTTCTGGTGGCCTCCTGCTGACCTCTCCTGACTCCTGCACAGCCGGGCTTTGACCAAAGGCAGGGTACCCTACAGACCCTTCCCACCCTTCCCCCTTCTAAGCACCTGCAATAAAAAGATAAAGAGCTCTTGCAAAATGCAAATAATCCAGTGGAAAAAATGTCAGAGGAGAGGCAGTTTAGGATAGGCAGGGAGAGTCCGGGTTCTCCAGCAAGTCAGACTTGTAGGTCTGTGTGGGGTCAGAGTCCTCGCTCAGAATCCAGACTCTGCTTACTAGCAGCAGAGATAAGCAAACTACTTAACTTCTCCAAGTCTCAGTTTCCTCCCTGAAAATGGGGACAATAATCCATGTACTTGACCAGCAGATTAAATGAGATAATACACAGACTATAACAGTGAATGGCATTCAGAAACCCAAGTAAATGTTAACTAGACCTGTTAATATTTTTATACAATCAGGCAAGTCATGGGAAAAGAAATGCAAATGGAATATATGTATTTGTATACATATATATGTGATTATTATACACATGAAAATATAAACAAGTATGTTTGGTTCTGCGATCTGTGCCACAGCCTCACTGTTTTCCAAAAGACAGCGAGGATGTCTTCCATCACCCATATCATGTCCCCAATTATATTCATGTCCCCTCTAACCTTCTCCTTGTACTTATAGTCCTCTGATTCTAATAGTGATCTTTTCAATGGCATTTGGAGAATAAACAGAAATAAATAAACGTATCTGATTGGGGATGTAATCAAATGCCCCAATTCCCCCATTTGATTTTGTTATTCAACTCTATTTTTGAATAGGCAATACATTCCCATGGCTCACCTGAGAGAGGATTGATTTTGCAAGGCAACTCTCCTCTTCCAGCTACCTAATTTCCCTAGAAATTAAGGTAATAGGTTTCTTTGCGTCTTTCCAAAGACAAAAATTCAAACAAAATGTCCACGTGTTCCTCTTTCTCCTTTTACCCAAATGTGCATATTGTATGGGCCGTAATAAGCCTCTCTTTTTTCACTTAATAATGTGTCTGAGATGTCATTCTGTGTGAGTACATAGTTTTTCTTCAGTTTTTAAATTTCACTGACTAGCTATACCATAAATTGCTTAACCAATTCCTTATTGATCTAATCCCTTAATTTTAAATATATAAAAATTGGATGGAAGAATAAATGCAGAAATGAGTACAGACTTCAGCCCAGCTTAGATTGTGTGAAAATAAAATTGTAGACTTTGGGAAGTTTGAGATCTCTGAAGAAGACCTTGAAGCAGTTTTCTGAGTGGAGACAGTGTGATGTGATTCAAATTAATACACAGTCCTTCCGGTTCCTCTCAGATTGGGAATTCCCCACTTTCCTCTCTCTCTGCTGGTTAACTAAGGTCAGTGGGGATTCAAGACACTGAGGATCCAGTGTGTATTCAACAGTTTGGAAGTCATGCATCCCGGCTTGACAATACCAGTGCAAAACATGACATGTTCATATATCTGTTTTAATAATTTCATTCCCCAGGAGTAGCCAAGAGATATGTTTTGGTTGCATGAAGATGTTCATTGCAGTTTTATTTTAACCACAAATGATTGACAACAGCCCAAAAGCCCATCAGTTAAGAAGAAAACTATATCATCATTTAAAATGATGTTCCAGAAGACTTTTCATTGACTTGTAAATATGGTCACAATATACTATAAATGCAAGAGGGAAAACAGTTTTCTAACGAATTTATATAGTATGAGGCAGATTTTATAAAGTCAAATTTATGTATAAAGACTAAACATCCCTGAGGAAAATGTCACAATGGCTATCTCTGGGTGAGAGGTGCTAACATTTTCATCTTCTTCTTGCCATCTGTATTTCCTAAGTTTTCAAATGAATACATACTACTTTTGTAGTAAGAAAGCTATCTTGGAAAATAAGTCAGAGTTTTCTGCAACTCAGAATCCGGAACTTAAAGGTAAGCAGGTGGGGCAGGTAAGAAAGCAGTCAGGGCAC